ATTGGAAGTAACATTGATCTTTTATCTTTAATTGGTACACATTTAAAACCTATTTATGTTTTTTGCTCGTAATATTTATAATAAAAATAACTGATGATACTTATCATACGCAAGTATCATAATTACATGGCCTTTGCTAAAATGCTCCAAAGAGAGAAAGCAACTTCCAGCTTCATTTATCTTGATTGTTTTATTTTTTGTTTATATTGTTTATAAAATTAATAATAAAAATAATTGATAATTATCATACGCAACTACAACAACTACAATAATTGCATTGGCTAAATTGCCCCAGATAAGTAGAAACTCCAAACTTTTTCGAACTTTAATTGGCACACATTATTTATAATTTGTATATCCGGGGTTTATGAGTTTTACAACAAAAATACTTTATCATATGTAAGTCGAATTGCATCTTGAACTGACTATCTGGCAAATTCAGCCACTGAAATCTAACTCAGCTCCACACTCTTACACACACACACACACAAACATACAAACCACAAACGGTTCACCGATTTGTGCAAGAGAAAATACAGGACTTCCAGCCAATCAAAAGGGGTTACAAATAGTGTGCAGAAGTACCAAATTAGGACTGAAAACTGAATTCAGATCTCAAAAATGCCACCAATGCTGGCCTAGGAACACAACAAATGCCCCAAGGAAAAAAGCAGAAAAGAAATTTGCACTCTCGTTTTCCCTATTTTTGCACTCTTCCTCCAAGGAAAAGAGCTCTTTTTTTAAAAAAAAAAGTTATGTTCCAGGATCCAACCTACGAACAAAAGAGGATTTTTTTTTTTTTTGCAAGACTACGCAACTTGCAAAACGCTGGCTCAGAAGGAATTTGCAAGGCGTTGCAAAATTGGGAAAAAGGGGGGAAAAGGGAAGGAAAGAACAATGGAAGGAAGGAAGGAAAGAAAGAAAAGAGGAAGGAAAAAATGGACGTACTAGAAATTCTTTGGAGATCTGGAAAAGTTTTCCATCTTCCCCACTCTTCATCTCTGCAACGGCTTCTTCTTTGCAGCTATTTCTCCATTTTTTCCTTCCTGCTTTCCTGTAGTCTGCTGGGTCCTTCCTTCCTCTCCTGCCTGGGATCTGGAGATTTTGCACAAGGAATGAGACTGCCCTCCAAGGAGGGGGGAGGGGTGGGATTGGGGACCCCCCCCACTTCCAAAGAAAGGGGGCAGAGAAGGGCAGGGGATGCATTACCCCATCCAGTCAGCTGCCACCCCCAGATGACCTTGGTTTTCTCCCCACACAGGGGGGAGCATCAACTCCAAGGCTCCCAGCAAAGCAGGAGTTTTCTAGCTGGACAATTTGGGGTGCACTTCAAGTCCCAGAATTCCACAGGCAGCAGGAGTGGACTTCAAGTCCCAGAATTCCACAGGCAGCAAGAGTGGACTTCAAGTCCCAGAATTCCACAAGCAGCAGGAATGGACTTCAAGTCCCAGAATTCCACAGGCAGCAAGAGTGGACTTCAAGTCCCTGAATTCCACAGGCAGCAGGAGTGGACTTCAAGTCCCAGAATTCCACAGACAGCAGGAGTGGACTTCAAGTCCCAGAATTCCACAGGCAGCAGGAGTGGACTTCAAGTCCCAGAATTCCACAGGCAGCAGGAGTGGACTTCAAGTCCCAGAATTCCACAGGCAGCAAGAGTGGACTTCAAGTCCCTGAATTCCACAGGCAGCAGGAGTGGACTTCAAGTCCCAGAATTCCACAGACAGCAGGAGTGGACTTCAAGTCCCAGAATTCCACAGGCAGCAGGAGTGGACTTCAAGTCCCAGAATTCCACAAGCAGCAGGAATGGACTTCAAGTCCCAGAATTCCACAGGCAGCAAGAGTGGACTTCAAGTCCCAGAATTCCACAGGCAGCAGGAGTGGACTTCAAGTCCCAGGACTCTCCAGCCAGCATCTGGGTTTTATCTCCCAGAATCCTCCAGCCAGCATTCCCAGGGTCCCAACTCCCAGAATCCCCCAGCATATGTGGGAGCCAATAACCAGAATTCCCAAAACAGCCTGAGAAGACTTCAACTCCCAGAATTCCTCTGCTGTCTGGCAAATTCTTGCAGGTTTTTTTATTTATTTCTTGAAATTAAGTAGATTTAAATGCTCACCCAGCTCACAAACAATCGCAGCCCAGGCAATTGGGGATTCTGGGAATTGGAGCCCAGGTTCCCAGGCTGGGGGATTCTGGGTGTTGAAGTCCACACATCTTCAATTTCCAAGTTTGAAAAACATTGCTGTGAAATGTGACTTTTAGCCAAGTGCTCCCAAGACGGAGGGGCCTTTTTCAACCCTGCCATGCCGTCCCCGTAGGAAAACACAAACCCCCCATTTTGAAAAGGGGAGTACTACAGTTCCCATCACCCAGATGTTTGAAAACCTATATGCTATCATTCTGCATCCTTGTTCAAGCCAGAGTTAGCAAAAGCACGCTTCTGAAGCACTTAACAATTCTCCAGAAAAGGACTTCAAATTATATTATTATTATTGATCATCGCACAGTCAGCCAGATGTTCAGACTGGATTTGGCATTTTGTCTACCCATCGAGTCCTTAGCCAGGACTACTACTACTACTACTACTACTACTACTACTACTACTACTACTATTATTGATGATTGATCATCGCACGGTCAGCCAGATGTTCAGACTGGATTTGGCATTTTGTCTACCTATCGAATCCTTACCCAGGACCTGGGATAGGCAGATGTGGATGTTTGATGGTATTACAGGTATCGTCGCAGGATGGAAGCAGTTCCTAGTAAGGCCGCCTTTTGCAATTGACTAATAGCGAATTTGTCAATGCCAATGGTGTTCAAGTGGTGCTCCAGTTGTTTTGGGATTGCACCCAAGGAGCCTATGACTATTGGTACTACCCTTGCTTGCTTTTGCCACAGTCTTTCTATTTCTATTTGTAGGTCTTTGTATTTTGTTATCTTCTCCAGCTCTTTTTCGTCTATTGTTGCTGTCGTTGTTGTTATTATTATTATTATTATTACAGGTAATCCTCAACTTACAACCACAATTGAGCCAATTATTGCTAAGCAACACAGTTAAATGAGTTTTTGCTTCGTTTTACGACATTTCTTGCAGCGGTCCTTAAGTGAATCACTGCAGTTGTTAAGTCAGTGACACGGTTGTTAAGGGAATCCGGCTTCCCCATTGACTTTGCTTGTCAGAAGGTCGCAAAAGGGGATCATGTGACCCTGGGTTGCTGTGACCGTCATAAATGTGAACCGGTTGCCACAGACGTCTGAATTTTGATCGCATGACAGCTATGATCGCCATTTGCAAACTTCCCAGCCCGTTTCCAACATGCAAAACCCATGGGGGAAGCCAGATTCATTTAATGACCATGCAATTCATTTAACAACTGCAGGGATTTGCTTAACAACCACCGTGGCCAAAATGGTCGTAAAATGGGACATGACTCACTTAAGAACTGCTGTGCGTAGGAATGGAAATTCTGGTGCCACTCATGGTCATAAACTGAGGACTACCTACACCAAGGGAGAACAAGGGTTCCCAGCGCTGAACATGCAGGTTTTCCAGGCTGAGAACGAGGGAAATTAATTAATCTACCAGGATATTAATTCGATGGTTTAATTCCATTTTTTTCTAAATTCAGCCTTGATGGCCCTAAGACAAGATCACAGCAAGTCCACGCAGTTCACTGATTCACAAAATCATCACAATCACAATTCTGAGCAACGCGAGACTCAGGACCCATCCCTGCAGATGACCGTTGCAGCATCCCCATGGTCACATGATTAAAATTCGGACATCCGGGGATCATGTGACCTTCTGACAAGCAAAATCAATCAGGAAGCCAGATTCGCTTAACAACTGTGGTGATCCACTTAACAACTGTGGCAAAAACCTCATAATGTCAGTCACCAGTCTCTTTAATAATAATAGTAAAGTTGGAAGGGACCTTGGAGGTCATCTAGTCCAACCCCCTGCTCAGGCAGGAAACCCTACACCATTTTGGACAAATGGCTGTCCAGTCTCTTCTTAAAAACTTCCAGTGTTGGAGCATTCACCGCTTCTGCAGGCAGGTTGTTCCACTGACTCTTAACAACCATCCTGCTTACCAACAAAAATTCAGTTCCCAATTGACGTCGTAATCTGAGGACTATGTATAACTAATTTTTTTAAAAAAACAATTGTTTTTAAAACCAGATCTTTCTCAGAGGCGACCTTATCCCCCCCCCCCCACATGCTATTGCAAATGGGAAACAACATTAAAATGTATTTTGGGGCAGGAGCAAGTCCAGCAGGCACCAAACCATAATGCAGCTTGGCCAATACAGTCATAAATCATGACGGTCGTAAAACGGGTCAGGCCTCAAACACCAAGAATCATCTGGCTGAAAAACAGTCCCCTTGCAACAGAATACGCCTGCCGAATGAGACTTTCTTAGCAAAAGCAGAATACAGAATAACAGAGTTGGAAGGAACATCAGAGGTCATCTAGTCCAACCCCCTGCTCAAGCAAGAGACCCTACGCAATTCCGAACAAGCAGCTGTGCAAATCTCTTCTTGAAGACCTCCAGCGATGGAGCATTCACCTCCAGAGATTGTGGGTGCTCCAACATTGGAGGTTTTTAAGAAGAGATTGGACAGCCATTTGCGCTTAGTCTAATCTCATTTCTGGGCAGGAGGTTGGACTAGAAGACCTCTAAAGTCCTTTCCAAGTGTCTTATTTTGAGAAGCAGGAGAAGCAGGAGCAAGGGAGAAGGGTTTCCTGCTTGAGCAGGGGGTTGGACTAGATGACCTCCAAGGTTCCTTCCAACTCTGCTATTCAGAGAGGAGGAGGAGGAGGGGAGGAGGAGGAGGAGGAGGAGGAAGAGATTGGACAGCCATTTGTCCAGAATGATATAGGGTTTCCTGCTTGAGCAGGGGGTTGGACTAGATGACCTCCAAGGTCCCTTCCAACGCTGCTATTCTATTCTATTGTACTTACTGCTTCGAGCAGCCAAGCCAAGCTTTCCATACCTTTCGCAGATAGGGGAAAAAAAAGGTGGTCCTTGCGTGTGTCTCTCTCGCCCCCTTTTGTTTCTCTCCCCCCTCCGACACAAATGGGGCTCTTGTGCGGCACGACTCGAACCAGCGTCTTCACCCCTGACAGGAAGAGAAAGGCAGAAAGAGGAGCAATTCATGGTCCTTTGGACGCCCCTCTCGTGGGCTTGCACTGCCAGGCACCAGGAAGCCATCAGCTTGCCTCGCCTTTACAAAGAGCTCCATTGTTGTGTCTCTCGCACAATGTTGTGCACTCTGGATTTCTGGGTTCGAAGTTGTGGGTCACTTCCCCCTCCACCCCGTGGGGACACTGTTGCCTCCTAGGCCAGGAGATGGGGGGGGTTCCTTTAGGAAAACCCCCCCCAAAGGAAAACACCCCAAGCAGAACGAGTTTTGAAAAAGGTTTAGGTCGGGTGCAGTGGAACCACAACTCCTGCACAACTGCAGGTTGCATGCCTGTTAAGCTTTTTCCGGGACCAACAATCCCCAGGGCCAAGTCACTTCCAGTTTTGACTACAGGCAGTCCTCGACTTACGACTACAATTGGGCCCAAAATTTATCTTGCTGCCGCAGTCATTAAATGAATCACTGCAATTGTTAAATTAGTAACGCGGTTGTTGAGTGAATCTGGATTCCCCATTGACTTTGCTAGTCAGAGGGTCATAAAAGGGGATCACACGATCCTGGGGACACTGTGACCGTCATAAATATGAGTCAGTTGCCAAGCATTTGAATTCTGATCACCTGATTATGGGGATGCTGCGACGGTCATAAGTGTAAAAAAATGGTCCTAAGTCCCCTTTTTCAGTGCTGTTGTAATTTTGAACAATCACTAAATGAACCGTTGTAAATCGAGGACTATTTATACATGCATCTGAATTCTGATCAGGTGATCGTGGGGATGCTACGACGGTGGTAAGTGTGAAAAATGGTCCTAAGTCCCTTTTTTCGGTGCCAGTCACTAAATGAACCGTTGTAAGTCGAGGATGACCTGAAAAGGCAACCTCTGGGCATCTGTCCAATGCTTTTTCAAGGACACAAGTAGTCCTTGACTTATGACAGCTGGAACCGTCATTCTCATTGTTAAGCTGCCTTGATCATTCCTGTTTTGAAGAACGTGATGCTCCAATATTTCAAACCTGGCCTTTGAAGATGGGTGGACCAAGTCCCAGAATGCTTAGCAAAGAGCCAGCAGAGCAGGGAATTCTGGGAGTTGAAGTCCAAACAGCTTCATGTGGCCTAATTTGAGACAGAGAAACTTAAGAGCTTCTTCCGTGCTCTTAATTAACACCCCACACCCGAAATGCAGGAAGTCCTCACTTACAACACTTCATTTAGTGACCATTCGAAGTTACGACGATACCGAGAAAAGGGGCCTATGACCGTTTTTCACACTTAATGACCATTGCAGCCTCCCCATGGTCATGTGATCAAAATTCGGCTGCTTGGCCACTGATTCGTATTTATGACAGTGTTGCAGTGTCCTGGGATCATGTGATCCCACTTTCTAACTGGACAACCGTGTGAGTAACAACTGCAGAGATCTGCTTAACAATCAAAGCAAGAATGGTCGTAAAATGAGGCAAAACTCATTTAATAACTATCTCGATTAGCCACAGGAATTTTGAGCTCGTCGTAAGTCGAGAACTACCTCGACTGGCATGGTATAGGAGACTTTTTTTCTTAAGAACAACCAGCAGCATTAAAATCTGGATTTGGGGCCTTTTTCTCATTCTCACAACATTCCTAAGTGACAACACAGATTGCGATTGTGCAAAAAGCTACCGAGGTAAGCCAGAATCGCGAGCAATCCAGATGTGGCTCTCTCTGGGGTGTGCAGAGGCTCCAGCTGCTGACCCCTCCTCCCCGGGGGAATCTGCCTTTCCACCTTTTCTGTTTGTGACAGATTTTGTACATTTTTACACAGAAAGAAAGAAAAAAAAACACCCAGTGAAGAAACTCACAAAGAAACCCACAAAGAGACACAGGTTTTTCTTAAACCAGGTTTCTCAACCTTGCTGACTTTCAGATGGGTGGACTCCCAGAATCCCCCAGCTGGCAGAAATCAAGTCCCCCTTACAGATAGTCCTTGATTCATGACCAATCATTTAACAACCTTCTCAAGTTACGATGGACACCCCAAAGCTACTTACAACCATTTTAATGTATGTTGTTGTGTGTATAGATAAATGACAATAAAAGTTATCTTATATTATCCAGATCTCATATGCAAATGGCTACACATGCACACACAAACACACACACACATTGTCTCCCCCCTCCCCCCCCTCTCTCTCACACACACACACACAGGTGCTGTCACATGACTGCCTTTCAGGCACTTAGCCAGTGATTCACTTTTAAGATGGGTTCTAGTATTCTTTTAGGATGTTTTTTACCAATTTCCAGCCATTTGTGACAAAAAGTGTCTATAGGAATACACTGATTCACTTAACAACCGCCGCAGACATAATCCACTCATGTGGGTGTCCTTGACTCGTCATTCATGATGGAAATTCTCATCTCCAATAGGGGTTATAAGTTATGTAATCACAGGGAAAACATATTTTTACTAGTACAGGTTCACCTCAACTAAGAGCAGTTCATTTAGTGACCGTTCAAACTTACAACTGCATTTAAAAAAGGGACCTGTGACTGTGTTTCACCTTTACGTCTGCTGCAGCTACAGTCACCTGATCAAAATTAGGACACTTGGCAACTGACTCATATTTATGACGGTCACAGAGTCCTGGGGTCGTGTGATCCCCTTTTGTGACCTTCTGACCAGCAAAGTCAACGGGGAAGTGCAGATTCACTTAACAACCCTGTCACTAGCTTTAACAACTGCAATGTTTCACTTAACAACTGTGACAAGAAAAGTCATAAAATTGGACCAAACTCACTTAACGGCTGCCTTGCTTAGCAACAGAAATTTTGGGTCAGTTGTGGCCGTAAGTTGAGGACTACCTGTAAAGGGAATAGCAAAACTTGAAAAAGCAGCAATAAAAAATATAAAGAATTCCTTGGTGGTGTCCCATCCAAGGACTGAGTTCAGCCAAGATTGGTCATGTGCTGCCCCCTGGTGAAAGCAGGGTGTAATTTTAGTACACATTCTTTATCTCAATTATTCTTAAACTACAGGTAGTCCTCGCTTTACAATCATTCATTTAGTGACCATTCAAAGTTAAAATGGCATTGAAAAAAGTGAATTGTGACCATTTCTTGCACTTATGACCGTTGCAGTATCCCCACAGTCATGTAATCAAAATTCGAATGCTTGGTAATTGACTCATATTTATGATGGTTGCAACGTCCTGGGGTCACATGATCCCGTTTGGCGACTTTCCGATAAGCAACGTCAATGGGGAAGCCAGATTCACTTAACAACCGTGTGACTAACTGCAGCGATTCACTTAACAACTGTGGCAAAGGAATTCATAAAATGGGGCAAAACTCATCTAACAACTGTCTCACTGAGCGACAGAAATTTTGGACTCAGCTGTGGTCCTAAGTTGAGCACTCCCTGTAATGAATATTTCACCATCATCCCCCGACGCTACTCTTTGGACGGACAGGTGAGCCGAGTGCGAGAGAAGATGGGGGAGAAGATTGGCAGTCTTCCAACAGTTCCAAATAGATCATCCACTAACCTGGACCAGGCCAGGATTTGTCAGCAGAGAATCAAGCCAGGTATCCAAGAGTGCAGCTTTTTTTTCTGGTTCTGGAGAAAAAAAACAAAATAAAGGAAATTGTCAATCAAATAATTTTTCTGTGAAAGGGGGTTGGACTAGATCAGGGCTTTTCAACCAGTTGTACGGGTACCCCCTGTGGTACATGGGCACCTGGCAGGTGGTACGCGAAGATCCTAGAAAAGGTAGTGGGGGGGGGGAATGAGCTGAACAGGTGGCAGCACCGCATAAGCCTGAGCGATAAATGGCTGGAGCTGCAGGGCTGTCAGGGCTCAGCGGAAGCGCCAGGATCAGCGCCAGGCTCCAGCTGGAGCTCAGCACTGATCCTGGTGCTTCTGCTGAGCCCAGAAGAAGTGCCGATCAGCTGGAATGTTGCAGCCTCTCCAGGGTCTTGTGATTTACATTCAGATGCTTGGCAACTGATTCATATTAATGATGGTCACAGTGTCCGAGGGTCATGTGAAGTGACCAAAACCTGCTGCAACCACCCAGCAGACGGGGTGGGGGGTGGGGGGGGTGTGGTAAAAACCAAACACCCCCCACCTAACCCCCGCTCCAATCCTCAACAGAAACACTCACAACAATGGAAACCTCGGATAGGAGGAAGAGCGCCGCTGGGCGGGTAGGCGTCTTGCTCGGCTGTGGCTTGGGGGGGCACATTTTTCAGTGCCATTGTAACTTCGAACAGTCACTAAGCGAACTGTTGTAAGTTGAGGACTATCTGTACTTTATCACTTTTTTCCTTTTGGGGGGGGGTCATCAAGTTTTTGACACCTTGCTAGGCGAGTGGTGGCGCTCGGATGTTGCCATATCCTAAAAGTGGTACAATGGGTGAAAAGGTTGAAAAGCCCTGGACTAGATGACCTCAAGGGATCCTTCCAGGTATAAGATTTAGTTTCTACATCAATGCAATTGCCATCTCCTAGATTTTTTTGTGGCACAATAAATGTAAGATATGTACGTTACCAACCCATTTATATCCGTCCTCCCAGGTAAAGATAATTCTTGACATACATCCATTCGTTTAGTGACTGTTCAAAGTTAGAACGGTACTGAAAAACCTGAATTATGACCACTTTATTCACGTTTATGACCATTGCAGCCTCCCGGTGGTCACGTGATCAAAATTCAGATGCTTGGCAATGGAAGTCCCTTCCTTTCAACAGGTCGTGAGAACGCAGCATGGGGAAGGGACGCGTATCTAGGACTTGCTTGGCTGCTCGCAAACGCGACTCTTTAGCTGCCCCTGGAGGAAAGACACATGATGGCTCCGGAAAAGCCCGGAGACGGCCAGGTTTTTCCTTCCCGCCGGGGCCCACTCACCTCTCGGGTGCTGCTGCCCCCGTTCAGACGACAAGCGGGCTGGGTCTGGGCTGGAACAAAAGCCGGCCCGGTTTAGACAGCACCCCAGTCTGCCAGATGTACAAAACAGCCGAGGTACGCCGGCTCGTCTTTTTTTTTCGTACCGGAGCCGGTTAGGAGAGCCACATGCACGCTCAAGGATGCACGTCTGAATGCAACCAGCCGTCCCTCTGTCTCCCGGGTCTGCCAGGCAGCGGGTACTCGCAGCAGCTGCAGCCGATGCAACGGTTACAAACGCCGCGGCTCCGGGCGCGCAATTGCGCGCACATCCAGGCCATGGAAACTCCAGGCTCTGGAGCCCAGCCAGGGCGGGCAGACACCCCGCGGAAGAGGGGGCCAGCTTGGGACGCCCCCTCCGGAGAGAAAAGGGCCCGTCCCGGGACGGAAGAGCCGCCTCGGCTGCCTGCTGGGACCGCGCAAAACGCCGCGCAGGGAACGTTTCCAAATGGGTTTTGCACCGCGGGAATCCGAGGTTGGGGTGAATGTTTTTGGAGAGGAGGGTTGGATTGCGCTCTCTCACTTCCCTCCGACCCTTCCTCTTTCCTCCCTCCCTTCCCTTTTCCTTCCTTCCTTCCTTCCTTCCTTCCTTCCTTCTTTCTTCTCTTTCTTTCTATCCCTTCCTTCCTCTCTCCCTCCCTTTCCTTCTTGCCTGCCTTTTTGTTTTTCCTCCCTCCCTCCCTTTCCTTCCTTTTTCTCTTCCTCTCCCTCCATTCCTCCCTTCCCTTCCTTCCTTCCTCCCTCCCTTTTCTTCCTCTCTTTCTCTTTCTCTTCCCCTCCCTCCCTCCCTCCCTCCCTTCCTTCCTTTCCAATCTACTCTTCTTCTTCTCCCCCCCTCCCCACCTCCTTGCTCACCCTGAAAGTTTGCAAAGTTTTGTCCTTATAAAGCCTGGCCTGCTTACATTCGCACCCACCCTTGTGCTCTGGATGGAGGGAGAGGTTCACAAGATTGCGATTGTTGCTTGAAGTTTTAAAGCAAAGTTGTACCCGGATTCCCAGCAATTAGAACTGGGAGAAACTTAAATTTGCATTTAGGCATGCATTTAATTAGAAAAATGCAACTTCATAATAGGTGGGCAGTTGCCTTTTGCAAGCAAAAAGAAAAAAATACGTAGATTTAGGAATTGGCAACATTGCACCAATTCAGCCGAAGACACTTTGCTAGGTGGGTAGTCCTCAACTTACAACTATTTGTTTAGTGACCTTTCGGTTACAACAACACTGAAAAAAGGCGCTTATGACCATTTTCCACACTTATGACGGTTGCAGCCTCTCCATGGTCATGTGATCAAGATTTGGAAGCTTGGAAGCTGGCATGTATCTACGACGGTTGCACTGTCCTGGGGTCACGTGATTCCCTTTGGTGACCTTCCCAGCCGGCTTCCAACAAAGTCAAAGGGGGGGGAGCCAGATTCGCTTAACGACCGTGTGTTTTACTTAACAACTGCAATGATTCGCTTAACGATTGCGGCAAAAGGGTAATAAAATGGGGAGAACTCACTTAATAATTGACTTGCTTAGCAACGGAAATTTTGAGGTCGGTGGCGGTCCTAATACAGTTGATAAGTGAGTCACTGGCCAAATTTTGATCACGTGACCACAGGGATGCTGTAATGGTCGTGTGAAAAATGGGTCATAAATAACTTTTTTCAACATTGCTGTAACATCTAACGGTCATTAAAGTTGAGAACCACCTGCGTAACTGATGGGGCTTCTCATGGCCCTTTTCAAGTGGGGTGCTTTCCCAATCTACTCACAGAACACCCCCCCCCCCGAGTTTTAATCAATTCAGAACATATACATATCCTCTGAATTGGATGGTTTGTTAATCACGCACATAAAACTAATTTAAAAAACGTTAAAAAGTAATTTTTTTAAAAAAACAAAAAGTAATTTTAATTTTTAAAAAAAATCCAAAAAAATTACAAAATGGTTTTTAAAAAATTATATTTTTTCTAAATTTAAAAAATAATTTTTAAAAATTTAAAACTTTTTAATTAAAAAAATAAAAATTTAAAAATATTTTTTTTTTTAAAAAAAAAAGTAGATCATTTTAAACACGCTGGTTGGGAATTTCAAGAAGTTGAAGTCCACCCACCTTTGAAGGTTGTGCAAGTTAAGGTTGCACAACCCTAATGTAAATTACATTGTAAATTCTAGGTAAATTACAATGCCTTAATTTTTATTAGCCCTTCCTACTGTACTCTTGAGGGGTAACGGAACACAAATTGCTGCTGACTTAAATCCCAGTGGGGCATTTTGAAGAAGATGGACAAGCCATCCCGGATCTCTGTTTGTGTGTTTGTGGGATGTGTGTTTTCAGCTTGGCATCCCAAGAAAGAAGGCCAGATCACAGAATATTTGCCTGTGGGCAAGGAAAAGGCTGCCTCTCTTAATGACGGTGGAAATATTTCTTAAGGGCCCTGGTGCAGAATTCAGTTTAATGAGAATAGACAGCCTTTAAATAAAAAAACAAAAAATCAAACCAAACACTGCAAGATTTTGTAGCTCCGAGATTATAATTCAGAAAATTGCAAGCAGTTAGCGGCCTGCTTTGTACTACACACCGAACCGCAAGTGATCCAGCTGTTTTAGACCCCCCCCCCCATGTGGAAAACCAGGTGAATTCAGCTAGTCCTCGATTTACAACAGTTCATTTAGTGACCATTCGAAGGCACTGAAAAAGGGACTCATGAGCGTTTTTCACACTTAACGACCGTTGCCGCATCCCGTGCAGAGTCACGGGATCAAAACTGGGACCTTTTGCCACTGACTCCTATGTACGACGGTCGCAGAGTCCTGGGATCATGTGATGCCTTTTTGAGACCGTATGACAAGCAAAGTCAATGGGGAAAACCAGATTCATTTAACAGCTTAACGGCCGTAGCTTAACAGCTTAACTGCCACAGTGATTCACTTAACAACTGTGGCAAAGAAAGGTCGTAAAATGGGACAAAACCCATTTAACTGTCTTAGCAATGAAAATGTTGGGTTCCATTGCGTTCATTGAGAGCTGTATTCCCAAGATGACTAACAGACTTTTTCCCTTGCACATGGAGAAGAAGGAAATGCAATTAGAATTAGTCCTCAACTTATGACCAGTTTCTTAGTGATCATTCAAAAATACGACAGACCTATCTTGGGGATACTTACCACCCAGGTCCAAAGTTACCATTTTGCCGGAAATTGGCAGTTAACGTCCAGATTTCAGCAAAACTGTGCCCAAAGTGAACGACTGTTCCACTTAACGACTGCAGTGTTTGCTTATTAACAGCTGCAGCAGCCATTTTATGATGGGTGGCATTTGCTTATCAAAGGATGCAAATAAGGTCACTTAATTAGCTCGGTCACATGACATCTGTTTTGCAACGGTCATGGCTTATGACCGTTTCAATACAGTCGTAAGTTGAGAACTATCTGTATTCTGGACCGGTGACCCAGGGTTAAGCTAACGTGGAGCAATGGCAGTTTAGAAGAAGTGGGAGAAGAAGAGGGCCTGGACTAGAAGACCTCCAAGGTCCCTTCCAACTCATGTCATTCTGTATTTTGTATTCTGTGATCAAAAATGGACCACAGGATCTATCATGGCTTGTTCTGAGGATTATCAAAGTCTCTTGACTCCAAAACTGGCTTATTTTGAGACCAGCTTGCTAGAAAAAAGACCCTCAGCCCAGCAGAGATAAATGAGATTCTGGGTTATGTGATCCCAAAACAGGAGATAGATTTCTCTTAGAAAAGTGGAAAGACTTCACCCAAAGTGGAATTTTAAAGCCTCTTTATACTGTTTTCAATTCCTATTTTTCTCTCCCTTGGACGTCAAAAGACAGAAAGGATCAGGCAGAATAATCGGAGGGGATCTTTTCTCCTTTAATAGAAAGTGTCAAAGAAGGATTTCACGGAAGAAGCCCAGCTCAAAAGGAATGTACAAGTACGTGGATGGATTTACGGGTGTTTTTCTCAAACGCAGCACAATAAGCACAGTGAATCACATGGAGGAATGACTGCAAAGCTCAGGTAGGTCTCCACCGTCGGGAAATTTCATGTTTTTTTAGATTCTTGTACTTTCTCGATCTCCTATGAGAAAAAGGAGAGATTTCAGCCTCTGCAAGTCACAGGAAGATCAAGATCCAAAATACAATACGGCAGAATTGAATTGAAATTTTACTAATTTATGCCGCTCAAACCTGCATCGGTGGGGATGGGAAGATACCCCTTGTTGCAATAGGCCAGTGGTTCTCAACCTTTTTAATGCCGCGACCCCCAACCGGTCGTAAGTCGAGGACTACTCAACTGGTGCAGCACCGTTTGCAGAATGGGACTTTTGGCGGGCTCAGCAGGGCAGAGACAGCCTGGACAATTCCTATTGGCTTTGGAAAGCCAATAGAATTAGACTCTATTCAAGAGAGTCTATTCTATTGGCTTTCAAAAGCCAATAAAGGGAGTAGCACAGCTAAGGAAAAGGGGGAAAAAAATGGCGGACAGCCTTGTTTGGCGACCCCCGTGAAATGGTCATTCGACCCCAAATGGGATCCCGACCCACAGGTTGAGAACCAGTGCAATAGGCAAACTACGGGGAGAGTCCTTGACTTACAATGCTTCATTTAGTGACCATTCAAAGTTACAACAGCACTGAAAAAAAAAGGCTTAGGACCGTTTTCACACCTATGACTCTTGCAGCATCCCTGTGGTCACGTGATCAAAATTCGGATGCTTGGCCACTATTTATGACGGTCGCAGAGTCACGGGGGGGGGTGATGGTCATGTGATCCCTTTTGTGACCTGACAAGCAAAGTCGATGGGGGAAGCCGGATTCGCTTAACAACGGTGTCATAGCTTAAAAACTACAGTGTTTCACTAACAACTGCAGCAAGAAAGATTGTAAAATGGGCAAAATTCACTTAACAACTGTCTCACTTAGAAATTTTGGGCTGCGTTGTGATCATAAGTCAAGGACTACCTGTATTAAACCAATTGTGCAAAATTGCAAAACAAAAAATCCAGAGGCAACCACCTGGATTGGACATATAGCAGGGGTGTCAAACTCAATTTCATTGAGGGCCGCATCAGGGGGGTTGCCCTCAGGGGGGGCCTGGTGGGTGTGGCCTACTAGGTGGGCGTGGATGGAGTGGGTATGGCCTACTGGGTGGGCGTGGCCAGCTCTACATCGTTTGCGTCAAGGGTGCCTGTGGGGTCCTTGGCAGGAGTGGGACAGATCTGAGGGTCTCTGGCAGAAGGGGGTGGGACCGGGGCAAGCGCCAAGGCACGGTCCATTTCTTCATTCCTCACAAAGGGTGACCCCTCCCCAGCATGCACCCAGGGGGCGGGCCCGATGCGGCAGGGGCCAGTCCCTTGCTGTTTCTAGACTGCCTTGTGGAGCTAAGACTGAATGAGTTTCAGCATAGATGGCCACCACAAAATTGTACATTGGCTCCCGGCCGGCCTGGGCCAGGGTCAAGGCAGTGGGGGCCGTTCCCTCACTGTTTCCAGGATGGCTTCGTGGGCCACATGAAACCACTTTGCGGGCCGCATCTGGCCCCCGAGCCTTGTGTTTGACATGTCTGACATACAGTTATGAGGCTAAGGCTGCACCCTTGTAGAAATTTTGTATAACATGGATTATGTGTTTGTTCGTTTCTCTTTTGTCATGTTCTTACACTTGCTAAATTAACAATATTGTGCAACTAAAAACCAGCCCAGTGTGAGACAGGTCTTCCCATCCCAAACATGTCCTGTTTCCCTCTAAGTAGCCGTTTCTCCGGAAATTGCCAAGAAATGCAAGTGGTTTAACACGAAGTTGCTTGTGGCTTGAATGTGTGAAGGGTGCTTCTGACGGAGTCCAAACCACTCACCTCGGCCAGAATGTTTTTCAGTTTCATATAAGCTTCCTCCAAATCATCATTGATGATAATCATGTCGAAAAGGCCCGCCTCCTTACCTAGCATGAAACAGAGATTAGGTTTTAAACAGTCCAGGTCCATCCTTCGCAAAGGAAAACAATCATGAAAGTAGCAGGGGATTGGACTAGATGACCTCCAAGGTCCCTTCCAACTTTTATTTTTATTATTATTATTTTGGATCATCGCACAGTCAGCCAGATGTTCAGACTGGATTTGGCATTTTTGTCTACCTATCGAGTCCTTCCCAAGGACCTGGGATAGGCAGATGTGGATGTTTTATGGTATTACAGATATCGTCACAGGATGAAAGCAGTTCCTAGTAAGGCCGCCTTTTGCAATTGACTAATGGCGAATTTGTCAATGCCGATGGTGTTCAAGTGGTGCTCCAGTTGTTTTGGGATTGCACCCAAGGAGTCTATGACTACTGGTACTACCCTTGCTTGCTTTTGCCACAGTCTTTCTATTTCTAACTGTAGGTCTTTGTATTTTGTTATCTTCTCCAGTTCTTTCTCGTCTATTCTGCTATCTCCAGGCACTGCCACGTCCACTATCCAGACTTTTTTGTCTTTCTTATCGACAATTGTTAAGTCTGGGGTGTTATGTTGCAGGTGCTTGTCTGTTTGAATTCTGAAGTCCCAGAGCAGTTTAATTTTATCATTTTCTATGACTTTCTCTATTTTATGATCCCACCAGTTTTTGCTTACAGGCAAATGATATTTTTTGCAGATCTTCCAATGCACCATTGTTGCTACTTTGTCATGCCGCTGCTTGTAGTCAGTCTGTGCAATCTTCTTGCAACAGCTTACCAAGTAGTAGTAGTAGTAGTAGTAGTAGTAGTATTTACAGATCTTCATAACGGCAAATATTGAATGGCACAAAGGACTATTTCCTCATGATTTTACAGCGCTGCGAGTATGCTGGACTAAAAAAGACTGCAGGTAGTCCTCGACTTATGACAATGGAGGCAAAAAAAAATTGGTTGCTAAGCGAGACGGTTTTGCCCCATTTTAACGATCTTTCTTGCCAGTTGTTAATATGAATCCCTGCGGTTGTTAAATTAGCCACACGGTCATTAAGTGAATCTGGGCTTCCCCGTTGACTTAACTTGTCAGAAGGTCGCAAAAGGGGATCACATGACCCCGGGACTCTGCAACCGTTGCAAATATGAGTTAGTTGCCAAACGTCTGAATTTGGACCCACAGGGATGCTGCTACGAAGCGTGAAAATTGGTCATAAATCAGTGCCATTGTAACTTCAAATGGTCACTAAATGAATTGTTGTAAGTCGAGGACTACCCGTACTGGGTCTTCTGATTGGCAGAGTTCGTAAAACCTAGATAAGCAAGGATTAACACCAGACAAACTTCATGCTGAGTTGATCCATCCTAGACTGGATTCTCTCTCTCTCCCTCCCTCCCTTCCATTCTGGAGAATCATCTCTGTTGGCGCTTGGGCCAGGCGCCCTTCCTCCGTCGTGGGGAGCAGGAGAGGAACCCCCAAACTCTGCACATTCACTCACTGAGTTCCATGTCAGTGGCAGCCGCTTGCAGCCGCTTCTGTAAACTTTCCTCCGTCTCGGTCTGTCTCTCCCTTAAGCGTTTCTCCTGTGGGAAAACAGAGAGGAAAAACGGTGTTTCATCTTTCTGGGGAAGATCTTACTGGCTTTGATAAAAAGGGGCATTTGAAGCCCAGAGTTGGGAACTATGAGGGTCCTTGGTGGTCTCTGAGCTGGGTGGTTTCCTTGCAGACATTTCATGACCCAACTAGGTAACATCAGCGGTGCTAAAGGAAGTGGGGGAGAAGGAGAAGAAGGAAGAGGAGGAGGACGACTATGGGATCCTTGGTGCTCTCTGAGCTTGGTGGTTTTCTTGCAGACGTTTCATGACCCAGCTAGGCAACATCATCAGTGCTAGAAGGGAGGGAGATTGTGAAGAGGAGGAGGACTGTGGGGTCCTTGGTGCTCTCTGAGCTGGGTGGTTTCCTTGCAGACGTTTCATGACCCAACTAGGGAACATCATCAATGCTAGAAGGGAGGGGGGTTTGTGGAGAGGAGGAGGAGGAGGAGGAGGAAGGACTGGAGGGGTCCTTGGTGCTCTCTGAGCTGGGTGGTCTCCTTGCAGACGTTTCATGACCCAACTAGGGAACATCATCAATGCTAGAAGGGAGGGGGGGTTGTGAGAGGAGGAGGAGGAGGAGGATTATTGTTGGGTCCTTGGTGCTCTCTGAGCTGGGTGGTTTCCTTGCAGACATTTCATGACCCAACTAGGTAACATCAGCAGTGCTAAAGGAAGTGGGGTTTGTGGAGAGAAGGAGGAGGACGACAACGACTATGGGATCCTTGGTGCTCTCTGAGCTTGGTGGTTTTCTTGCAGACGTTTCATGACCCAGCTAGGCAACATCATCAGTGCTAGAAGGGAGGGAGATTGTGAAGAGGAGGAGGACTGTGGGGTCCTTGGTGCTCTCTGAGCTGGGTGGTTTCCTTGCAGACATTTCATGATCCAGCTAGGTAACAGCATCAGTGGTAGAAGAAAGTAAACAGTCTAATCAAGAAACACCAACAATACTCCCAATAATAATTACAGGGCAAACCACCCTATATAAACAGAGAGGAAACCCACCCGATTCTAGCACTTAAGATGTTCCCTAGTTGGGAACGTCTGCAAGAAAACTGCTCCGCTCAGAGACCACCAAGAACCACAGTCATCATCGTCTTCTCCTTCCTCCACTCCACAACCCCTCTTCCAAAGTAGTGATGATGTTACCTAGGTCCCAAAATACTTGCAAGAAAACGACCAAAAAGAGAAACCCAGATAAGCATGGATTAACACCAGACAAACATTCAAGCAGAAAACAGTGCCCTCTTCAAGGTATTACCAAGAAGAAAACCTCACCCTCACCATCACCGCAAGGGAAAGCTACCGTCAATATCTTTATGTGTCTGTTGACGGCTGATTTGTCTCGAGTGCGTAACCTTCCCAGAAATTTCCTAAAGTTTTTTGGATTTAGCTTGGCCTAGGACAGGGTTAGCCAACCAGGGCTCTTTTCTGACTTGTGGACCTCAGAATTCCTCAGCCAGCCTGGGAAAAACTTTGGCCCTCTTCATGACTTGTGGACTTCAACTCCCAGAATTCCTGAGCCAGCCATGCTGAGGGGAAAGGGAGAGGCTTCCAAGCTGAGCCATGCTGGCTCAGGAATTCTGGGAGTTGAAGTCCACGAGTCATAAAGCGGCCTAGGCCAGGGCCAGAGGTAGGCCACCTTGACTCTTTTAAGACTCGTGGACTTCAACTCCCAGAATTCCTGAGCCAGCCATGCTGAGGGGAAAGGGAGAGGTTTCCAAGCTGAGCCATGCTGGCTCAGGAATTCTGGGAGTTGGTCCACCAGTCATAAAAGAGCCAAGGTGGCCTACCCCTGGTCTAGGATGCTCGGAAGGTGTATTTATTTATTTATTTTTAAAATTTATAAGCCGCCCCACTCCCGAACAACTCTGGGCGGCTAACAATAAAAAACACATAAAACATAACAAAACAAACAATACAAAGACAGTCATCCAGGGGTCAGGTTTTATAAACCCCAGGCCTGCCGGAAAAGCCAGGTCTTAAGTAGCTTACGGAAGACCAACAGGGTGGGAGTGGTCCTAATCTCTGGGGGGAGCTGATTCCAAAGCGTGGGCGCCATCACAGAGAAGGCCCTCCTCCGCAGCCCCGCCAAATGGCACTGCTTGGCCGACGGGGCCTGAAGGAGGCCCAGCCTGTGGGATCTAACCGGACGTAGGGAACTATGAGATAGTAGGCGGTCTCGCAAATGGCCTGGCCCTGAGTCATATAGGGCTTTAAAGGTAATGACCAACACCTTGAATTGGACCTGGAGACCAATAGGCAACCAGTGCAGCTCACGGAGGATAGGTGTAACGTGGGTGTATCGAGGAGCACCCGCTATCACTCGCGCGGCTGCATTCTGGACCAACTGTAGTCTCCGAATACTTTTCAAGGGTAGCCCCATGTAGAGCGCGTATTCATGACACACAGGAATACTGAAGACCCCATTCTACCTATGTGTTGGAGAAGAACGTAAGACCGGAAAGTTCTTCAGAGTACTTCTGAGTGGCCATCATAAAAGGCCTTCAAATGTTGGCTTACCAAGGTCTCATCCAGCAGAAGGACCGTTTTTGTGATATCCAAATACGGATACGAGTTGCTACTATTGCTAATTTTGCATAAACCATCAGCCTGGTACATTAACTATAACCATAACTGCAAACAACAGTCACTTCTCACCAGGATCTCTATGGAAGGGACTTGAACGGAGATGTAGATGGGATTCAGGTCCGTCTTCTTGATGTTCCTCACACCTTGAAGGTCAATATCAAGGATGCAGATCTGATTCTGAGCTTGGACAGCCTGTATGGCGGCTTTGCTGGCCGGGAGAAGGAAGAGTAGTAGTTACGGTTCCTTTTTTAAAAAAAATGAGTTTGTAAAATGCCTCTGAAAAAATGATTGCAAAGATTTTACATTTTTATTGAGGTATCTAGCCAACAGAGGTGATGAGGAACAGTTAGGACAACAACAACAACAATAATAATAATGATAAAGTTGGAAGGGACCTTGGAGGTCATCAAGTCCAACCCCCTGCTCAGGCAGGTAACCCTATACCATTTCAGACAAATGGCTGTCCACTCTCTTCTTAAAAACTTCCAGTGTTGGAGCATTCACCGCTTCTGGAGGCAGGTTGTTCCACTGGTTAATTGTTCTAACTGTCATGAAGTTTCTCCTTAGTTCTAGGTTGCTTCTCTCCTTGATTAGTTTCCATCCGTTGCTTCTTGTCCTGCCTTCAGGCGCTTTGGAGAATAGCTTGACTCCCTCTTCTTTGGGGCAGCCCTTGAGATATTGGAACGCTGCTGTCATGTTGCCTCTAATCTTACATTTAATCAAACTAGACACCCCCAATTCCAGCAGCCGCTTCTTATATGTTTTAGCCTCCAGTCCCCTGATCATCTTCGTTGCTCTTCTCTGTTTCTAGAGTCTCAACATCTTTTTTACATCGTGGTGAGCAAAACTGGATGCAGTATTCCAAGTGTGGCCTTATAAAGACGTTGTAAAGTGGTATTAATACTTTACCTGATCTTGATTCTATCCCTCTGTTAAAGCAGCCCAGCACTGTGTTGGCTGTTTTGGCAGCTGCAGGACACGGCTGGCTCCTATTTAAGTGATCGTCCACTAGGACTCCGAGATCCCTCTCACAGTTACTGCCCTATACCAGTGGTTCTCAACCTTTTTAATGCTGCGACCCCCAACCGGCCGTAAGTCGAGGACTACTCAACCAGTCGTAAGTCGAGGACTACTCAACTGGCGCACCACCGTTTGCAGAATGGGACTTTTGGCGGGCTCAGCAGGGCAGAGACAGCCTGGACAATTCCTATTGGCTTTTGAAAGCCAATAGAATTAGACTCTATTCAAGAGAGTCTATTCTATTGGCTTTCAAAAGCCAATAGAATAAAAAGGGAGGAGCACAGCTAAGGAAAAGGGGGAAAAAAATGGCGGACTGCGTTGTTTGATGACCCCCGTGAAATGGTCGTTCAACCCCAAATGGGGTCCCAACCCACAGGTGGAGAACCACTGCCCTATACTATACCTGTGCATTTGGTTTTTCTTGCCTAAATGTAGAACCTTGCTTTTTTCACCCTTGAATTTCATTTTGTTACCACCTATTCTACATCTGTGCATTTGGTACATGAGTACCTTGTATGCATAAGTACCTAGTCCTCACCTTTTCGAAGACAAACATCACTGTTAAAAAAGCAACCCATTCCTGATGCATTTGAAAGAGGCTACCTTGTTCCGTACATGTTGCCCGAAAATTCTGCATGTTCCACAAATTCTCCCGCATCAACCTCCTTCTGCATCTCTCCCCTGGTCACAAAGTGGTAATCTAGGGTAAGAAACAAACCAGGTTTGTTAGAGTGCATGCCGAGAGATGTTGCTGGATTATTTAGCATTATTAGACATGAAATTGTCATTGTGTCGAGGGTCCTCTTTGAGAACAGCTCAAAAGAACAAGGAAGTTAAGAACATGGCGAAGAGAGAATGAATAATTTTTATGGTCTTAAATTAAATTAATCAACCCTGATTAAAAAGGGCTGAACATGGGAATCATATGTAATTTTAAAGAGGATTGCAAGATAATACATTTCTTAGTAAAGGAGATTGGAGGTTGTTTTCTTATCTTTTCTTTTTTTTTCTATCTGTATTACTTTTAATCATTTTCTTTTAGTTTTTCATTTTTTTCTTGCCTTATATGATTTCATGTTGATTTTTCACTTAAGTAAAACTTTCTGATAAAAAAAATATTAATACCTATTCATACTAATTTGATTCAATTTTTAAAATTTGATTTTAAACAATTACTTTTAATAATATTAATAGAAATACAAGAAAAGTAATACTTATTAATATTTATTAAAATAATAATTAAACATAAAATAATTCAATGATTCAATTCAAAAAATTATTAATAATTCAATGATTCAATTCATTTCAAAAATGATTAATCCAATGATTAAATTCAATTCAAAAAATATTAATAATTCAATGATTAAATTATTTTAAAAAGATAAAAGGCACCTCAGAATTGGAAGGAAATGTGAGGAAATTGTATTTCATGTTCATGTTTTACTTGTGAAAATTTATAATAAAAATTAATAATTATTAATAATTATTCTTAATAATTCAATCATTAATTTATTTTTAAAAATGAAAGGAGCCTCAAAATTGAGAAAAAAATGTATTGCACTTTTTTATTTTTGTGAAAATTCTTAATAAAATTATTAATAATTACTTATTATTTACTAGTTAATAATTATTCTTAATACTTCAATTATTAAATTATTTTTTAAAAAACAAAAGAAGTCTCCGAATGGGAGACTTTTTACTTAAACGAAAATGCCTTAATTCTTTATTGATTTATAAAATGTATTGGATCTTACCATAAAGTAACTCTGGGCAGCTTACAGATATAAAAACTATATCTACATCAAAACCAGGATAATTAATTAAAATAATTATTTTAACATTATTTTAAAAAAATATTTTAAAGGGACCCCAAGACAATCCTCAAAATTGGAAAACCTCCTCCAGAGAAACAGCCCCCACAGCCTACCTCGCAAGGCTGTTGTAAAGAAAAGTAGGATATAAGTGTCATCTTGGACCAAAAGTCAGTATTTAAAATTTAACAAACAGGCAACTACAAGTATTCCTCGACTTATAACATTTCATTTAGTGACCGTTCAAAGTTGCAACGGCACTGAAAAATGTGACTTGACCGTATTTGCAGATTTGACGGCCGTCGCGGCCTCCCTGTGGTCACGTGATCAAAATTCAGACACTCGGCAACTGACTCGTATTTATGACGGCTGAAGCCGTCACGTGATCCCCTTTTGTGACCTTCTGACAACTGTCTCCCTTAGCAACAGTAATTATGGGCACAATTTTGGTCGTAAATCAAGGACTACCTGGGTGCGTAATTGGGAATTGTAATTTGCTGCTGGGTTCCAGATTGAGAAAAGTGACTGCAATTCAAATTGTGTTTGTTTGGTTTTTTTCCTGGAAGCGACATAAAATTCTGCTTTTTACCTTTTCCGTTGACTTCCCCAGGTCGTGGCTGTCTTGTAGTGTCTGGAAGCAAGAAAAATATAAATAATAATTTTTGAAACACTCCCTAAGCCTAAGCTTAGAGATGTTATGAAGCAGCTGCACAAAATGCATTGGTTTTTTTTCCTTTCTAGACCTGCGTTGACTTAATCGCATCTTCTCTTCAAGTTATGCCCTGATTTAATAATTAATACTGTCCTCAACTTAGGACCATAGTTAAGTGAATCACGTGGTCGTTAAGCAAATTTCCCCCGTTAACCAGCTGGGAAGATCGCAAATGGCGATTGGGTGACTCCAGGACATTGTAATGGTCATAAATATGTGCCAGTCGTGTCCAAATTTTGATCACGTGACTGTGGGGATGCTGCAACGGTCGTAAGTGTGAAAACAGGCATAAGTCACTTTTTACAGTGCCATTGTAAGCTGAAACGGTCACTAAACGAATGGCTGTAAGTCAAGGACTTACTTGCCAAAGAAAAAGAGGTTAGCAATGTAAGAGAAAAGGTGCTACAGGTAATCCTTGACTTACAACTGTTCATTTACCGACCATTAGTGGTTTATGACTGGTCCTCGCAGGTGACCATTGCAGCATCCCCCCCACGGTCATGTAATCACAGTTGCACAGCCCCTGGGTCACGTAAGACCCTCACAGCCAGGTTCCAACAAAGGGGGAAACCCGGACTTGCTTAACGACCATGTGATTCACTTAACGACTGCAGTGATTGGTTTAACAACCTTGGCAAAAAAAGGATGCAAAATCAGGCTCAGCTCACTTTAACAACCATCTCACTTAGCAATCCTGGTTATAAGACTAGGACTACCTGTATTTGTATCAACCGCAAGGGAGACAAATGAAACACCTACAGGCATAACTGGAGTGAGCTAAATTCACAATGTGTTTAATTCATTCACAATTTGGAGATTCGTAGTTCTCGCCATGTATGTACGTGTTTGTGTGTATATATACACACATATACATACATACATACCCGCGCACCCCCCCCAAACTAGAATGTATTGTTTCTCTGGATCATATATGAGTATGTACATGGGTAATATACATACTAATTTTTTTGGTCACGTTTATGCAGTGTATATTTGAGAGTTATATGCAACAAAATCTCAATTTAATGTATACTAATTAATGTACATTTAAAGTGACAATAACATTATTCTATTCTATTCTATTCTATTCTATTCTATTCTATTCTATAATCATTCTATTCTATTCTGTTCTATTCTATTCTATAGTCATTCTATTCTATTCTATTCTATTCTATTCTATTCTATTCTATTCTATTCTATCCTATCCTATCCTATCCTATAATCATTCTATTCTATTCTGTTCTATTCTACAATCTATCTATTCTATTCTACAATCATTCTATTCTGTATTCTATTCTATTCTGTATTCTATTCTATTCTATTCTATTCTATTCTATTCTATTCTATTCTATTCTACAATCATTCTATTCCTATTCCTATTGCATTCCTATTGCATTCCTATTCCATTCCATTCTATTCTATGCTATTTTATTCTATTCTATAATCTAACTATCCTATCTTATGCTATCCCATCCCATCCCATCCTGTTCTCCTAATACCAGAGCTAACTAAAGGCATTGGGTTCATACAACTTAATAAGCCCTACACAGAGAAGTAACTGAAGTTAGGAGGAGCCAAGCTGAGTGAGAAAGTGTGAGAGTAGCTGCCTGGATTTTAACGGGAAGGGTTACGTGTGTCTGGCAGGCTCAGCCAGCAAGGCAGCCAGCCAGCCAGCACCTATGCACGCTTTCCTTTGCACACCATCCCTGCAGAAAAGGGCTCACTCACGGGAGACGCTGAAGCCGAAGACGTTGTCATAATCTCTTAGAAGTTTCTTCAATAAAGTGCTTTTTCCCGCGCCCGATGGGCCGCTCAGTACAACTGGCCTTGGTCCTTTCATAACTGGAGAAAGACGAGAGAGAAAAGTGGTGGGTTGTTAAAAATCTAGGAAGAGACCCAGTTGGTCAAGGCAATAGAAAGCGGGAGACGGTGAGTTCTAATCCTGATTTAGGCATGAAAGTTGCCTGAATGACTTTGGGGCGGTCCCTCTCTCTCAGCCCCATCCACCTCACAGGATTGTTGTGGTGATGAAAATAGGAGGATGAAGGTATGTTGGTTATGTTCACTGCCTTTTTTGTAAACAAAAGGATATAAATAAATAAATAAATACAATTTTAAAAAGTTAAAATAAGGCGGATTGAGAACAGGAGCACCTGGACAGTTACAGTGGAGTGGAGCAGCGATGTTCTATGGGGCTCCTTGCCAAGCAAAAGAGTAAATCTATTAACAACATGCTGCCTGATTTACTAGGCCAGTGGTTCTCCACCTGTGGGTCGGGATCCCATTTGGGGTCGAACGACCATTTCACGGGGGTTGCCAAACAATGCAGTCCGCCATTTTTCCCCCTTTTCCTTAGCTGTGCTCCTCCCTTTTATTCTATTGGCTTTTGAAAGCCAATAGAAGAGACTCTCTTGAATAGAGTCTCATTCTATTGGCTTTCCAAAGCCAATAGGAATGGTCCAGGCTGTCTCTGCCCTGCTGAGCCCACCAAAAGTCCCATTCTGCAAACGGTGCTGCACCAGTTGAGTAGTCCTCGACTTACAACCAGTTGGGGGTCGGGGCATTAAAAAGGTTGAGAACCACTGTACTAGGCAGCCATGGCCTCTGTTCCTTTGCTGAAAACAATCTGCTTTGACTATTGCATTACATATGTGTGGATTCCGCCCATGAAATTCTGACCTTCGGGCTGGAGGATGACCTTGACACGGCTCTCAGAATCTTGGGACTGATTTTGGACTATTTTTCTGCACACTCCTATTAAAAAGGCTAACCATTCAGGCAAGCGACTGTCAGAGACTCTGCTTTGGTCTGCATGCATCGGCTGTTGCTATCTCTGTGACCTTAAGTAAACTGTGAACTACCACAGCAATTGTGCGTGAGTCAGTATTTGAAACACAAAGCAGGACACATCCTTATGCAAAGGAATGAAGAGGTGACCTTGGAAACAGGGTGGAGAAATATCAGAGAAAGGCAGTTGTCAGAAGGAAACACAAAATTACACCACCTTGATTCTGCAGAGAGAAATGTTTTTAAGAACATCTGACGCAGGAGAGTAAATTGTGCCCACTTTTGGGGACCTTGTGAAATTAACATTATATTCCTCTGCATTTTAGATGGGAAACACGTAAAAATGACATGGAAACTTTAAACAGGCATATCACCCATAACGGATAGCAGAAAAGGAACTCCCAATCTTCCAAATAATTGTGATTTTCTCCTCACGAAGAGTGTGGTCCTTCAACAAGTATAACTTTTCTATCATCCCATGTCATCTACAGATAGTCCTTGACTTATAACCATTTGTTTAGCGACCGAAGTTACAACAGCACTGAAAAAAGTAATTTATGACTGTTTTTGATGACCGTTGCAGCTTCCCCATAGTCACGTGATCAAAATTCAAGCGCTTGGCAACTGATTCATATTTAGGACGGTCGCAATGTCCCTGGCTCAGGTGATCTTGTTTTGTGACCTTCTGACAAACAAAGTCAATGGGGAAGCCGGATTAACTCAACAACTTACTAACTTAACCACTAAATTGATTCACTCAGCTGTGGCAAGAAAGGTTGTAAAATGAGGCAAAACTCAGTTAACAGCTGTCTTGCTTAATAGGGAATTTGGGTTCAATTGTGGTCATAATTCGAGGACTACCTGTTTTTGTTGCTCTCGGAGAGCCCAACAGTAGAGAAGCAGAAGCAATAATATATTTTTTGCTAAAATAGTTTCCACTGTTGGGCTCTAGCATAGGGCTTTTCAACCTTTTCACCCACTGTACCACTTTTAGGATATGGCAATATCCGAGTACCACCAGTCGCCTAGTGAGGTGTCAAAAACCTGATGACCAAAAAAAAAAAAAAGGGGGGAAAAGTGATAAAAGTACAGGTAGTCCTCGACTTACAACAGTTCGCTTAGTGACTGTTTGAAGTTATAGTGGCACTGAAAAAAGTGCCCCCCAAGCCACAGCCGAACAAGACACCTGCCTGCCCGCCCACCGGCGCTCTTCCTCCTGTCCGAGGTTTTCATAGTTTTGAGCATTTCTGTTGAGGATTGGCAACGGGGGTGGGGTGGAGTGTTTGGTTTTTATTCCCCCCATTTGCTGGGTGGTTGCAGCAGGTTTTGGTCACAATGCCCTGGAACATTATGACCGTCATAAATATGAATCAGTTGCCAAGTATCTGAATATAAATCACAAGACCCTAGAGAGGCTGCAACATTCCAGCTGATCGGTGCTTCTTCTGGGCTCAGCAGAAGCACCAGGATGAGTGCCGAGCTGCAGCTGGAGCCTGGCACTGATCCTGGCGCTTCCGCTGAGCCCTGACAGCCCTGCAACTCCAGCCGTCTCTTGGTCAGGTTTGTGTGGTGCTGCCACCAGTTCAGCTCATTCCCCTCCCCCGCTACTTTTCTAGGATGGTCGGGTACCACCTGCCAGGTGCCCATGTACCACAGGTGGAACCCGTACCACTGGCTGAAAAGCCCTGCTCTAGCATATCTTTAGATAAAGCCTACTGGATTTGGCCCTGTTGGTTTAGAATTAACTTATTTTATTTCCTCTTAGCAAAGTTAGCTCTCTCAGTGCTCAGAAGCAGCAACCCCACAGCAAGAATGCTCTGAGATTTTCTGATTTTTTTCCCCTCCCCAGTGATTTACCAAAAACTCTGGAAAAAAGTGCAAAGAACAACAAGGATAATTAGGAGACTGGAGGCTAAAGCATATAAGGAACGGCTGCTGGAATTGGGTATGTCTAGTTTAACGAAGAGAAGGACGAGGGGGGACATGATAGCAGTGTTCCAATATCTCAGGGGCTGCCCCAAAGAAAAGGGAGTCAAGCTATTCCCCAAAGCGCCTGAAGGCAGGACAAGAAGCAACGGGTGGAAACTCATCAAGGAGAGAAGCAACCTAGAACTAAGGAGAAACTTCCTGACAGTTAGAACAATTAACCAGTGGAACAACCTGCCTCCAGAAGCGGTGAATGCTCCAACACTGGAAGTTTTTAAGAAGAGACTGGACAGCCATTTGTCTGAAATGCTATAGCGTTTCTTGCCTGAGCAGGGGGTTGGACTAGAAGACCTCCAAGGTCCCTTCCTACCCTCTTATTCTCTAAACTCCCAGCCCCTTGGCTATCTGGCTTTGCTCCATTTATATAACTGCCCAGATTTTTGATGTTTATTTCATCTGAGCTTTCTACCGCCAGAAGAGATGAATAATGTCTCATGCAATTAGCACATTAATCCATAGTTCTTACTTCCTGCTGCCCAGCCCACAATAAAAACCAGCACGCTCCTCCGGGAACGCACAGCAACGGTTTTTGAAAATAAAAATAGAAGAGGGCTGCAATTAAGCCGAAGGGGAAAAAAATATCAAGAGTTGCATTCAGCACCGATGGCTGCTTTCTCGCGGCTCTGCCCAGCTTACCTTTCGCCTTGCTTTTCAGAGGGACCGTTTAAAATTCGGTACTGTAACAAAATCCTGTTTTTTCTTACGTTTCCAAGACAGGAAATGGATGGATCTGGATTGTGCTGGTGGAGAAGGCAGCGTAGAGGGAATAACAGTCTGTTTCTGACTGCTTAAAGCCTCAATTATCCGGTTTTCACCTTGGGATGGTCTCAATCCCTAATCATCATCTGTGGTTTTCTGCAGATACTTTGGCTCCTGCTATTAATGGCTTAAAGACTCTGGGAGCTTAGCTTTGAAGGACATAAACTCTGCCTTCGGATAGAGTGCATTTTAAGAAATGACGAAGCTGTCTTTGTCAGCATCATTCAATTAACATATCCATCATTTATTTAACATATCCATCCCGACCAGCAACAGCTACCTGATCTGGAATGATCACAAAAAAAGCTAACTGTGAAGAATCCTGCTTATGCCAGGCAGAAGAGAATCGAAAGAAAACTACCACTCTTAATTTAATGGAATTTTTAAAAAAATATGTTTCCATAAGTGGTAACTGTGAAGTACAGGTGGTCCTTGACTTATTACCACAACGGACTCCAAAATTTCAGTTACTAAGCGAGACAAAGCAAGTTTTGCTCCATTTTATGATCTTTCCTGCCACGGTTATTAAGTGAATCACTGCAGTTGTTAAGTTAGGGACACGGTTGCTACGTAAATCTGGCTTTCCCATTGATTTTGCTTGACAGAAGGGGATCATGTGACTCCAGGATACAGCAACCGTCGTAAATATGAGTCAGTTGCCAAGGGTCCGAATTTGTGACTATGGAGATGCTGCAATAGTTGTTAGGTGTGGAAAATGGTCATAAGTCACTTTTTTCAGGGCTGTTGTAACTTTGAACGGTCACTAAATGAATTATTGTATTTTTTTGTCAAAATAGTTGCCTTCCTGGAGATCACCAAATGATCTCAAATCAACAAAAACTTTTTTATGTTTCAAAATCTTCAATCCCAACTCTGGGAAGGGTAGCTAAATCAGGTGTGTGAGACACTCGTGGATCAGCTGTGGTCACTAAGAGTTGATATTAACTTGATGGCACATAAATCAATCAAGGGTACTTTGGGAAATTGACTGTGCTCTGCTTCCCCCTCCCCCCTCACATATCTGAATTAAGGAGATATAAATTTCTTGCCCACATCATCTTCTTGAGGTCAGCCTTATGGGTTTGGTATTGAATCTGGCCTATCTCTGTCCAGGTCACCTTTCTTATTCTCCCCATTTTTGTTTCCCAACCTCAACAACTTTAACACACGTGGACTTCAACTCCCAGAATTCTCCAGCCACCACGAGTGGACTTCAGCTCCCAGAATTCTCCAGCCATCACGAGTGGACTTCAACTCCCAGAATTCTCCAGCCACAAGTGGACTTCAGCTCCCAGAATTCTCCAGCCACCACGAGTGGACTTCAACTCCCAGAATTCTCCAGCCACAAGTGGACTTCAGCTCCCAGAATTCTCCAGCCACAAGTGGACTTCAGCTCCCAGAATTCTCCAGCCACGTGGACTTCAGCTCCCAGAATTCTCCAGCCACAAGTGGACTTTAGCTCCCAGAATTCTCCAGCCACAAGTGGACTTCAGCTCCCAGAATTCTCCAGCCACGTGGACTTCAGCTCCCAGAATTCTCCAGCCACAAGTGGACTTTAGCTCCCAGAATTCTCCAGCCACAAGTGGACTTCAACTCCCAGAATTCTCCAGCCACAAGTGGACTTCAGCTCCCAGAATTCTCCAGCCACCACGAGTGGACTTCAACTCCCAGAATTCTCCAGCCACCATGAATGGATTTCAGCTCCCAGAATTCTCCAGCCACCATGAATGGACTTCAGCTCCCAAAATTCTCCAGCCATGAGTGGACTTCAACTCCCAGAATTCTCCAGCCACCATGAATGGATTTCAGCTCCCAGAATTCTCCAGCCACCATGAATGGATTTCAACTCCCAGAATTCTCTAGCCACGAGTGGACTTCAGCTCCCAGAATTCTCTAGCCACCACGAGTGGACTTCAACTCCCAGAATTCTCCAGCCACCATGAGTGGACTTCAACTCCCAGAATACCCAGCATTTGTCAATCTCAGCAATTTTAATATGTATGGACTTCAACTCCCAGAATTTGTCAGACTGGGAAGGCTCCTCCCAGGAGAAGATAGATCTAGGTGGTCATTAAGAGTTGACACCAACTTGATGACCTATAATCAAGACCCAAAGGTGCTTTTTTTCTCTCAGGAGGCAACTGGACTTTCTTGTTTTTCTTTTGAAGACATTTCGCTTCTCATCGCAGAAGCTTCTTCAGCTCTGACTGGATGGTGGGGAATGGAAGGATTTATACTGCTTGCAGACAGCTGGTCATTTGCCTTTTTTGAGAGAGTCATTGAGGCCACCTGGAGGCTTACCTGTGTCCTCAGGATCACCTGAGTAATGCAGAGGGTTGTGGAACGGATTTCCAGAAAACATGGCAGACTACGGGAGCCATTCACGCTTCAGTTTGAGATCCAGACAATACAGATTCATCCCAACAGCCTCCGCCTGTCTCCCACAGGAAAGGGACCCGGGCAGAAAAACATCCTGCAGCCAGGAAGGTTCCACACCCATTTGCATTACTCAAGTGATCCTGAGGACACAGGTAAACCCACAAGTGGCCTCAACGACTGTCTAAAACAGGGGTGTCAAACTCAATTTCATTGAGGGCTGCATCAGCAATGCGGTTTTCCTGGGGGGGGGGGGGAAGTGTGGCCAGGGTGGGCATGGCCTACTGGGTGGGCGTGGATGGAGTGGGTGTGGCCTACTGGGTGGGCGTGGCCAGCTCTACATCGTTTGCGTCAAGGGTGCCTGTGGGGGCCTGGGCAGGAGTGGGACAGATCTGGGGGTCTCTGGCAGAAGGGGGGGGGACCGGGGCAAGCGCCAAGGCATGGTCCATTTCTTCATTCCTCACAAAGGGTGACACCTCCCCAGCATGCACCCAGGGGGCGGGGCCGATGCAGCAGGGGCTGGTTCCTCGCTGTTTCTAGACGGCCTTGTGGAGCTAAGACTGAATGCGTTTCAGCATAGATCAGTGGTTCTCAACCTGTGGGTCGGGACTCCATTTGGGGTCGAACGACCATTTCACGGGGGTCGCCAAACAACGCAGTCCGCCATTTTTTCCCCCCTTTTCCTTAGCTGTGCTACTCCCTTTTATTCTATTGGCTTTGGAAAGCCAATGGAATAGACTCTCTTGAATAGAGTCTATTGGCTTTCCAAAGCCAATAGGAATTGTCCAGGCTGTCTCTGCCCTGCTAAGCCTGCCGAAAGTCCCATTCTGCAAACGGTTCTGCACCAGTTGAGTAGTCCTCGACTTACGACCGGTTGAGTAGTCCTCGACTTACGACCGGTTGGGGGGTCGCAGCATTAAAAAGGTTGAGAACCACTGGCATAGATGGCCACCACAAAATTGTACATTGGCTCCCAGCCAGCCTGGGTCAGGGCCAAGGCAGTGGGGGCCATTCCCTCACTGTTTCCAGGATGGCTTTGTGGGCACTTCGCAGGCTGCATCCGGCTCCCAGGCCTTGTGTTTGACATATCTGGTCTAAACGAATGCAAATGACCGGCTGTCTGCAAGGAGTATAAATCCTTCCTTTCCCCTCCATCCAGTCAGAGCTGAAGAAGCTTCTGGGATGAGGAGCGAAATGTCTTCAAATGGAAAACAAGAAAGTCCAGTTACCTCCTGAAAAAAACCAGTGTTAGGACAACCATGACATGGATGACTGAGAACCTCCATAGACATTTACTCATAATCAAGAATATTTTTGAAGATTGACTGATCCTCTTTGCGACTGTCTGACAGGCTATGTCAGGGGTAGGCCACCTTGGCTCTTTTATGACTGGTGGACTTCAACTCCCAGAATTCCTGAGCCAGCATGGCTCAGCTTGGAAACCTCTCCCTTTCCCCTCAGCACAATTGGCTCAGGAATTCTGGGAGCTGAAGTCCACCAGTCATAAAAGAGCCAGGGTGGCCTATCCCTGGGCTAAGTCAATGCAGAAGCCAGATTCACTTAACAGCCATGAAACTAACTTAACAACAGCCAGGATTCACTTAACAACTGTAGCAAGAAAGGTCGTAAAACGAGGCAAAACTTATTTCAATAACGGTCTCACTTAGGAATGGAAATGTTGGTCTTGACTGTAGTCGTAAGTTGAGGACTTCCTGTATTTTGTCCTTTTTCTCATGAGTTAACAGATTTTCAAATTTCAGTTGCGCTATTTAAGGTTTAAAATGCAGCCATCGGCCACCGAAGAGCCCCGGGTTTGCACCAGGCGTCCTCAAAGATAATTACCGAAGCGAGGGATAAAATGCACGCTATAGAAAGTTCCCCAGAAGGGTTATAAGTGAGGCTATCTGACAAGGCCGGCTTTCACCCAAGCCTGTCCCGGCCAGCAAGGAAAGCTCAGAGAGCAAAGAGCATTTGGCACCCCAAGAAAAGGCGATTAAGAAGCTGGAAAAAGCGTTTTCCCAACTAAGCACCACTAATCTTGCTTCCTATTTATAACCTGCTTTAGTCTAAAGCTACTTCTGTGATGGTGGGTCCAAGGGCAGCACAAACAAGCCCGAAAAAAAGATATCTAAGTCGTTAAATTAAGATCCAGGAGGACAAAAAAAGAATAATTAGGCATCCAAGTTTTTAATCATCAGGAGGCACGGAGTTCTAGTCCAGCCTTAGACATGAAAGAGGAGAGGGAGGGAAGGAAAGGAAAGAAAAAAAGTGAGGGAGTGAGAAAAGGAAGGAGAAAGGGAGGGAGGGAGGGAGGGAAAGGAGAGAGAAAGTGAGAGGGAGGGAGGGAAGGAGAAAGTGAGGGAGGGGGAAAGAAAGGAGAAAGTGAGGGACGGAGGGAAAGGAAAAAAGGAGGGAAGGAGAGTGAGAAAGAGGGTGGGAGGGAGGGAAAGAAGGAGAAAGAAACAGAAAGTGAAGGAGGGAGGGAGTGAAGGAAAGGAGAAACACAGGGAGGGAGAAAGGGAGGGAAGGAAGGAGAGAAAGAGGGACAAAGTGAGGGAGGGAAGGAAGGAGAAAGGGAGAGAGGGAAGGAAAGCAGAGAGAGAAACAAAAGGAGGGAGGGAAGGAAGGAGAGAAAGTGAGAGGGAGGGAGGGAGAAAGAGGGAAGGAGGGAGGAAAGGAAAGGAGAGAGAAACAAAAGGAGGGAGGGAAGGAAGGAGAGAAAGTGAGAGGGAGGGAGGGAGAAAGAGGGAAGGAGGGAGGAAAGGAAAGGAGAGAGAAACAAAAAGAGGGAGGGAAGGAAGGAGAGAAAGTGAGAGGGAGGGAGGGAGAAAGAGGGAAGGAGGGAGGAAAGAAACAAAAGGAGGGAGGGAAGGAAGGAGAGAAAGTGAGAGGGAGGGAGGGAGAAAGAGGGAAGGAGGGAGGAAAGAAACAAAAGGAGGGAGGGAAGGAAGGAGAGAAAGTGAGAGGGAGGGAGGGAGAAAGAGGGAAGGAGGGAGGAAAGGAGAGAGAAACAGAAAGGGAGGGAGGGAAGGAAGGAGAGAAAGTGAGTGGGAGGGAGAGAGAGAGGGAGGGAGGGAGGGAGGGAAGGAAGGAAGGAGAACAGGAAAGTGCCAGTTGACCAATGTCTCAATTTTGATCACATGACCACGGGGATGCTCCAATGGTCGTTAAGTGTGAAAAACAATCGTCTCTTTTTTCAGTGCCGTTGTCACTTCTAATGGTCACTAAACAAACTGTTGTAAGTCAAGGAATACCTGGGCTTTTCAAAACACCCTTTCAGAAGATAGTGGAAAATTTACTTTTCTGGAGACTTTCACAGACTAACTGAGCACCAGAGCTGCATATATAGAGTAATGAGCCGAGGTGGTGCAGCAGTTAGAGTGCAGTACTGCAGGCCACTTTAGCTGACTGTGTTCAGCAGGTCAGCGGTTCAAATCTCACCGGCTCAAGGTTGACTCAGCCTTCCATCCTTCCGGGGTAGGTAAAATGAGGACCCAGATTGTTGGGGGCAATGTAAAAATATATATATGCATTGCTTACTGGTGTACACCGCTTAGAGAGTGCCTGCATTTAAAGAGGTATATAAGTTTCATAAATAAATAAATAATCCTTGACTTGAATGAATGAATTTGGCCACACAAGCAATTTGTCTCCAGCCCAAAATTTATCTTGCTAAGCAAGCAACTATCAAGTGAGTTTTGCCCCGTTTTACAACCTTCCTTGCGATTGTTAAGGGAATCACTATAGTTGTTAAATTAGTAACACGGTTGTTAAGTAAAACTGGTTGAGTTTGACTTTGCTCATCAGAAGGTCACAAAAGGGGATCACGTAGCCCGGGACACTGCGACCGCCGTAAATATGAGTCAGTTACCAACTGTGTGAATTTTAATCATGTGACCCCGGGACACTGCAACCGTCATAAATACGAGACAGCTGCCAAGCATCTGAATTTTGATCACATGACCATGGGGATGCTGCAATGGACATAAGTGTGGAAAAACAGCCGTAAGTCACTGTTTTTAGTGCTGTTATAACTTCAAATGGTCACAAAACAAACTGTTGTAAGTTGAGGACTACCTGTATTTTAATTTGTTAATTTGCACTGTGTTTTGTTCTTGTAGATTGCTTGTTCTGATATGCTTATCCTGGACTGCCTCAAAGGTGCTTTTTTCATGAGGCAACTCTACCTTCTTTTTTTTTCTTTGAAGACATTTCGCTTTTCATCCAAAGGAGCTTCTTCAGCTCTTTATCCTGAGGCGGTTTTATCTCATTTATTCTGTTGAAAGCAGCTGGGAGTCAATTATGATTTGGTGGCACAGAAGTTCAGTACATTAAATAAATTGCTGGGAAATTCACCCTGGCTTTCAGAGGCTGTTCGTGCATTTTAAGCCATGCATAAAATCCACAAACAGGGAACAGCACAGCACACGTGTTTCTCAGCGAAAGCAGCAATAATTAGATATTTCCTGCTTCAGTTGCTTGTCATCTTGTAAATAATTGGACAGCTCTAGCATAAATTTAATAATTGCCAAAAGGACATATAAGACGCTTCATTATATTTAATTTGGCATCTGCCCTTAGCTTCTAAACTTCCATTCATCTCGCTGAAAATAAGTTTTTAGACCAAAAAAAAATCTTCATAGCTCTAAATATTTATCAGAACAGATTTCAGAAGCAATATTGGAAAAAAAAAGACTTTTAACTTATCTGTTTCTTCTCATCCTTTCTGGATTCCAAGTAATTGACAAAACTGACATTTCAGCTCTGAGAATTACTACCTTACTACTTACTACCACAACTGAGCCCAACATTTTTGTTGCTAAGCGATAAAGTTGTTAAGTGAGTTTTGTCCCATTTTACAACATTTCTTGCCACAGTTGATAAGTGAATCACTGCCATTGTTGAGATAGTTACAATGTTGTTAAGCGAATCCGGCTTCCCCCACTGACTTTGCTTGTCAGAAGGTCGCAAAAGGGGATCACGTGACCCATGGGACACTGCGACCGTCAGTTGCCAAGTACCTGGATTTTGATCATGTGACCAATGGTCGTAATTGTGGAAAATGGTCCTAAGTGATTTTTTTCAGGGCTGTCACTAAATGAACAGTTGTAAGTCGAGGATTGTCTGTATTCCCATCCTATTTGCAGAGAGAAGACAAATTGTTAAAGAATTATAGGAGGTTTTTTTTAATTGTGGTAATTCAGTGTGTCTCAAGACACTGAGAAGGAGGAGGACAACAACAATGGGGTGTTTGGTGGGTTTTTTTGCAGACATTTCATGATCCAATTAGGGAGCATCATTAGTGCTAGAAGAAAGTGGAGTAGAAAGAGGGAGAAATGAGAAAGGGGAGAAGGAGGACAACTGTGGGATCCTTGGTGCTCTCTGAGCTTGGTTATTTTCTTGCAGACATTTCAATAGCAAACCAGATAACATCATCGGTGCTACAAGAGAGTGGGGATAATCTGGTCGTGCTGATGATGTTACCTAGTTTGGTAATGAAATGTCTGCAAAAAAAAACAAAACCACCAAACCAAGCTCAGAGAACACCAAGGACGCCACATATAAAATGTGTTAATAAATAAAAAATAAAATAAAATTGGGAACGCAGCCGTTTGTCGGCAAAGGAAATGACTCTGGATGGTGATGAGATTTTATTTACAAAATGAGCAGAACGGGCTGAATTGAGAGTAACGGCCATTTTAGATCATTTAAAAAGAGCCCCAGAAATTAGGGGATCTGGATTATGGCTCAGGGTTCAACAACTGCTGCCTCGAGGCGATGGGATCCGTAACCTGAAAAATTGGAGGGACTCACTTAACTGCCTTGCTTAGCAACATAAATTTTGGGCGTCATTGTGGTCATAAGTCTAGGATGGGCAGAGGAGAAAACTGATCAGCTGTTAAGAAATGCTCCAGAGGACCCTGGATTTAGATGGAGTCTGACTAGATGACCTCTAGGGTCCCTTCCAATTTTTAGATGTTCTCATTGAACATTGGGCAGAAAAAAACCCCTCTCTACTTCAGTTACTGTGTCCACTGTACAACTATGGGATGCTTTGATTTGGACTCATCCGTGGAATAGGGGTTGGACTGGATGACCTCAGGGTGCGCCAATGGTCCCTTCAATAGTCATTCTTCCAATTAATGCATTGGTCATCCTGTGCATCATTAAAAAAAGGGCCGCCTCCCCACGTGCAGCGGGAGGACCATGAGGCCCATCACTCCCGGCCAGCCAAACCCCTTGGAAAAAAGCAAAAGGAAGGCTCGCGGAGCACCATAACTGCAGTGGAACCAACGCGAAGGGCTGCAGAATCCGGGGGAGCACATATCCGCAGCACACCGCCAAACCGAAATGGGGCATCGGGGGGACCCCCGAAGCTGTTGCACTCACCTGAAATTGCAGCGCACAAGAAGTGCCGCCACCGCATGAGGAAACAAACCGGAGCCGCGTCCGGGAAGGATGACTCAGAGAAACGGGGCGGGCCATGACCGGGCCCCGCCGCCCCATGCAAGCTCCGCCCCCTACACGGGAGCACTATACGTTCCGGCCGCGCTGAAAGGCAGCCTGGGAGAACGGCGCCGACAATGACGTCACAGACGCAGGAGATGACGTTAAAGTGCCCCGTGGAGTCACATACGTAGATGACCTACCTGCCGCCGTTCCGGGTTAAACCATTCGGCACATGTACGAGGGGAGGGCAGTGATAGGTTGAACCATTCTGGAGGAGGGGGAAGAGAAGAAACGGGCCGTCGGCATTCGCAGCGTGGGAAAACAAGATCGGACCACCGGCAAGTGGAAAGGGGGGGGGGAATCAAACCATTGAGAGAACTGATGGGGAGAGGACACGGACCTGGGAGGCAATTCATTCCGAGAATGGGAAATGGCGCGAGATGGGTGAGAAGCGAAGTGTAGCCCCAATAAACCACGATTGGCTTAACCGTGGCTAATGAAACAAGCCACGATGGCTGGGCTTGGCCAACCTGGCCTGTACTGTCGCCTTCATGGCTTTCTCTAGCCAAGATCGTACTAGATGGCTTGGACTACAACTCCCATCAGCCAGGGGAAGGCATGATGAGACCTGTAGTCCAGGGCATCAGTATACCCCTGCTTAGCAAGTGAGGAAGGGGGTGAGGGCTTTTAGAGCAACATAATACAGAGGAGGGGTCTCCAAACCTGTCAACTTTTGACTTGTGGACTTCAACTCCCAGAAGTCCTCAGCCATGCTGGCTAGGGAATTCTGGGAGTTGAAGTCCACAAATCTTAAAAGTTACTAAGTTTGGAGACTCCTATTTCGAGGTTGACTGCCTTTGATCATGGAAGCATTTTGCTCTCACTTTGTCTAAAATCGGCTATTACAAATGGAGCCTCCAGATTTCAGGGCAGTATACCTTGGACCTGTTGCCATTTACAGGAAGTTCTTCAACTTACAACAGTTCATATAGTGACCGTTCAATCTTATGGCACTGAAAAAAGTGACTTATGGCTGTTTTTCACACTTAACGACTATAGCAGCCTCCCTGCGGTCAAATGATCAAAATTCAGATACTTGCAAGTGACTCATATTTATGACGGTTGCAGTGTCCTAGGGGGTCAACGTGATTCCTCTTTTGTAACAAGCAAAGTTAATGGGGAAAGCCAGATTCATTTAACAGTCCTGTTACTGAATTAACTGCAGTGATTCACTTAACAACTGTGACAAGAAAGGTCGTAAAATGGGTCAAAACTCACTGAACAACTGTCTCACTTAACAACAGAAACTTTGGGCTCAATTGTGGTTGTAAGTTTGCATTTTTTTCCCCTCTGCCAAAGCTCTCGGCCTGTTTAACTGACAGCCCTACATTTGCACACTGGCTAGCCATGTTAAAACCCATTTTTTAATATGTTTTGGAGTTTGGTGCAATATTTCAGCACTACCAGAACAGTTTAAAATTATTCTGCTTTAAGCTAGTTAATTTTAGCAGGTTTGATAGGTGGGTTGTGGTTGATAGTTATGTCTAGTGGCTGGCTGTTGAAAATTAGGAAGCCAGAGGCCTCCCCAAATATGAAACTTAAATAAATAATACCCAAATCACAATTTTGCAAACAGCCCAGAGTTGCAGATACTTCCTGAGAATGAAAACTGTGCTTGAAGGATGGAAGGCTGAGTCAACTTTGAGCCGGTGAGATTTGAACCGCTGATCCGTTCATTCATTCATGCACTACCCACACATTAACCTATATTTGGAATGAAACACCCCTCTAAAACTTTATTTCCAATATTGGAGGCACAAAATAACAATCGAAGATTATTAACAAGATTTATTTTCTTCTCTTTTTCCAGTTCTCAAGCGCCTCTCATTATGATTCTGGAAAAAAGCCAAGCATTTTAATTCCTCTTAGAAATTCCTAACCAGGATCTATTCCCAAAGCCTCGTTGCACGACAAAATGACTGCTCTAAGCAGGAGCTTAAGGTATTTCAAATATTCTCAGAATAGTCTGAACAGAAATACTATAGACTTGCAATCCAGAACTGAAATTTTATAGCAGCGATATTCTGAAAAGGATATAATAAACTTTGGAACAACTTAATTTAAAAAGCCTACTGCAATTTTGGTAACTTTTAAGATGGATGGACTTCCAAGTCCCAGAATTCCCCAGCCAGCATTCTAGATGGGGAATTCTGGGAGTGGAAGTCCTCCCCTCTTAAATCACACTGGCTGGGGAATTCTGGGAGTTGAAGTCCACCCCTCTTAAAGCATGCCGGCTGGGGGATTCTGGGAGTGGAAGTCCACCCCTCTTAAACCATGTCATTTTGTGCTGTCTAAATTGGTTTCAGCATCCTGCAGGTAGAACCTCTGTCCAGATGCCTCCTGAGGGCTTGTGGGCTTCATACAACAACCAACCAGCTGAATTCGAATCGGACATCCATCGCTTGCTTTCCAAGAGCAAAGTACGCCCGGCTGTATCCGGTCCTCCTGATTAGGCAGGACGGATCAACTATTCACCTCCGGTACAAAGAGCCGAGGCGTATCCTTCAGGTGAGTGTTAAACTCCCTGGCTTTTTTTACAAAGACAGAGCAGGATTCTCTAAATCAGGGGTAGGCCCATCTTGGCTCTTTTATGACTGGTGGACTTCAACTCCCAGAATTCCTGAGCCAGCCTGGCTCAGCTTGGAAACCTCTCCCTTTCCCCTCAGCATGGCTGGTTCAGGAATTCTGGGAGTTGAAGTCCATGAGTCATAAAGCAGCCTAGGCCTAGACCAGGGGTAGGTCACCTTGGCTCTTTTATGACTGGTGGACTTCAACTCCCAGAATTCCTGAGCCAGCATGGCTCAGCTTGGAAACCTCTCCCTTTCCCCTCAGCATGGCTGGCTCAGGAATTCTGGGAATTGAAGTCCACTAGTCATAAAAAAGCCAAGGTGGCCTACCCCAATCTAGGCCTAGGCAGCTTTATGACTCGTGGACTTCAGCTCCCAGAATCCTCAGCCAGCATGGCTCAGCTTGGAAACCTCTCCCTTTCCCCTCAGCATGGCTGGCTCAGGAATTCTGGGAGTTGAAGTCCACTAGTCATAAAAGAGCCAAGGTGGCCGACCACCAATTTGTTTAGCAACCAGGGTGGCTTGCTTAACGACCGCCACAAAAATGTACTAAAATTGGGTCAGTCATGTGATGACTCACTGAATGACCGGCATGCCTTACAATCTTAATTCTCAGATGAATGGCGATCATAAATCAAGGACTTCCTGCGTCTTAGAGATTCGTTTCATGGTTAACAACAAGCAATATACAGGAAGTTCTAAACAGTTCATTTAGTGACCACTCAAAATTATAACAACACTGAAAAAAGTGACATTACCGTTTTTCACACTTACGACCATTGCAGCATCCTCCCACGGTCACGAGATCAAAATTCAGACAGTTGGCAACAGAATCACATTTATGATGGTTGCAGTGTCCTGGGGTCATGTGACCCCCTTTTGTGACCTGACAAGCAAAGTCAATGAAGACAGATTCTCTTAACAATTGTATTACTCACTTAACAACTGCTGTGATTCATTTAACAACTGTGGAAAGATTGTAAAATGGGCTAAAACTCGCTTAGCAGATTTCTCACTTAGTGACATAAACTTTGGGCTCGGTGTTGGTTGTAACTTGAGGATTGCCTATATTCACGCATAAATGCACAAGACGGCAGAATTCCTGCAGGAATCTGTGTGCCAAGCCACACATTTTTCTACCTCTTTAATAACTTGCATCATATAAAGAGATGAGTGCTTTAAAATTGTAGTCCTTGACTTACAACCGTTCACTTAGTGACCGTTTGAAGTTACAACGGCAGTGAAAAAAGTGACTTATGACCATTTTTCACATTTACGCCCTTTGCAACATCTCCTTGGTCATGTGATCAAAATTTGGACGCTTGGAAACTGACTCGTACTTATGACGGTTGCAGTGTCCTGGGGAGGTTACGTGATCCCCTTTTGTGATCTTCCAACAAGCAAAGTCAATGAGGAATCCAGATTCACTTAACAACCATGTTACCAACAACTGCAGGGATTCACTGTGGCAAGAAAGTTTATAGAATGGATCAAAACTCACTTAGGAAAAAAAAAATTGCCTCAATTGTGGTCATAACTTGAGGACTACCTGTAACAATAAAAGTCTTTTGAAGTCCAAACTAGCCTTTGGAACAAGGCAACACAACCTGGCTACTAAGTGCGTTGAAAATTGAATTGAATAGCCTACAAGGGCAGCCCCATGCAGGTTCCCATAGCAGTAGTCAGCCATCTGTCAACGCAGATACTGAGCGTTGTTGTCTTTTCTCCACTTAGATACCCGTGGACCTCAACACCCTCCCCGAGGCTGAAAGGAGAAGTCGGTTAAGGAGGAAGACCTTGATGAAAACGAAGAAAGAAGAAGTAAAAGTTACAACTTTTGAAGATGATTTTCAATTGGAATATTACAAGAAATTTTGGAATAAAAAGTGAGATTTGGGGAGGGGGGGTGTCAGTAAGACAAACAAAATTCTGTCTCAGCAAGTATCTAGAATGTTATAGAACAGGGGTCTTGAAACTTGGCCCTTTTATGAGAGTGGATTTCAGTTCCCAGAATTCCTCAGCCAGCATGCCAGGCTGAGGAATTCTGGGAGTTGAAGTCCACAAGTCATAAAAGGGGCATATTTGAAGACCCCTGGTTATAGAATGTGCGAGGATTCACCCACAAATAAAGAGATTTCTTTGTAATTACTGTGTTTGTATTTTTTTTGGGGGGGGGAAGTGTTAATTTGTTTGAAGAAGGGCATGGGAAAAATTCAGGTTAAGCCACTTTGTGATATGGGTAAAAACCCAGAGACTCTTGGTTTAATCAGTAATAAAATTACCGGTTGTCCTTGAGTTACAATCATTCATTTTGTGACTGTTTTAAATCACAACAGTCAGAAAATGTCACATATCAGCATTTGCACCCTTGGCAGCTGGTGTGTTTTTACATCTTAGTGTAAGTCATTGACATTTGCACCTTCCCAGCTGGCTTCTGACATGCAAAAGAACTGGATTTGCTTAATGACCATGAGATTCATTTAACAACTGTAATGATTTGCTTAACAATCATAAAAAAGGTCATAAAGTTGGGCGCGAGTTTTAAGAACGCTGGCTAAGAAATTCTGGGAATTGAAGTCCCCCAGTCATAAAAGGGCCAAGTTTGAAGACCCCTGCTTAAGAACAACAATCTTGGTCAAAAAGAGGAAAATGGGAGCAGACCTCAAGATCTGTAGACCTGTGTTTCTTAATGTTGGCCACTTTTAAGATGCATGCCAGCTGAGGAATTCTGGGAATTGAAGTCCATACCTCTTAAAAGGGCCACATTAGAAAAACCCTTGATATAATAGCTGAACCTATATTCCTTACCTAAATCTATTTCCAAACATTTTTAGAGAGAAAAGCAAGTTCTCACTGCTGTAAAATATTTGGGAGACTTAATAAAATGTCCCTGGCCCACCTTACAGGGCTGTCGTTCAGATGAGAAGATGAACCAGCAGCCTCCTTATCTGCAGCGTCATTCACAGTTTTCTCCCTTTACAAGCCGTGCCTAAATTAGGTTTTAATTAAGGTTTGGGACTCCTCAACATCCTCACTGGCTAAGGAGGATGGACATTGTAGTCATACCCAGAATCCTGGGTGGAGAGGGGGCCTCCATCCCAATGCACCCAGAAACACCCCCTCTTTCTTCCTGGGAAGAAGTAGGAAATCGCTCACTATCTGGATTTCTGCAAACCTTGTCCACCGCACCCTTGCCGGCTGGGGATCATGGGACTTGGAGTACTAACCCCACCACAGCACTAATTGGACACCTCAAATGCCCATCCGGCGAGGCATACTGCAACAACGTTCCCAACAAACCCATCAGCGCCATGTGTACCTGGGGACTACAAAGCCCAACATCCTCAGTCACAATGCCTCAAATGGCTGGAAAAAACTACTTCGGAGTTGGGAGGGGGGGAGAATTCACTACTTAGTTTATTTCTCCCCTCAAACCCATTTTTTTTTCCTTTTCTGCTTTTTTAAAACTAATTAAAAACTTCTGCCAGCGTTGAACGCTAAGCGGAACAGGTCGTAAAGAAGGAAATTTTCAATAAGCGATTCTCCCCCGCCTACCCCCGTTCCTTGAGCCGGTTGGTCCAGCCCGCTTCATCTCCCCCTACAAGAACGGATGGTCGCGCCCAGGCTTGCGGAAGCGACGCCCGGGTTTTGCACGTGAGGCTGCAGTTAAGATTGCTGGGTTGGCTTGAACTGGCTGCCGGGGTTTTTTGGGGGGGAAAGGGGGGGGGGTCCTCGTCCTTTCCTGGGTTGGGGCTCCCTTTAAAGGGCCATGGCCCTTGCAGTGCACCCCTTTCTTATTTGCAATACGGTGGGGAGCCCATGCACCAGCCTTGAGGTCTGCAAACGGAGGGATGTGAAATCCCATCATCCCCAGCCGGGTGGGGCGCGTCCCAGCTAGAGTTGGGCACGGGGGGGCTCGTATCCACTGAAGATTTAGGGGGGGTTCCTGAGCTCCGGGTGGTCGCTGTCCAATATAAGAGTCTGTGGGGGTCCAGTTGGCAGAATTGGATCTCTTTGGGGCGAGGGTGAGGAAGGGGCACCCGGAGGGTCTTATTGGGGATGGGGGGACTTGACATGATTCCAGCGTCTCCCCAATAACACTTTTATTAGGTTGTTTTCAAACTCAGCTCCTTTAAGACGTGTGGACTTCAACTCCCAGAAGTCCTCAGCCAGCTTTAAGTCCTCCCCTCTTAAAGAATGCCGGCTAGGGATTCTGGGAGTTGAAGTCCACACATCTTAAACTAGCCAAGATTGAGAACCGTGGTTTATGAGTGTTTTTTCTCTAAACTCTGGACTGACAGATGAGACAATGCTTCAAACTATGGCAGGACCCACAACAAGTCGTCCTTGACTTACAACCTTTTGTTTAGTGACCAAATTTACAACGATACTGAAAAAAGTGACTTATGATTGTTTTTCAAACAGCCGTTGCAGCAATCCCCATGGTCACGTGACCATAATTCAGGCAACTGGCATGTACTTATGACAGTTTCAGTGTCCCAGGGTCATGTGATCCTCTTGTGACCTTCCCACAAGCAAAGTCAATGGGGAAGTCAGATTCACTTAACAACCGTTTGACTACCTTAACCCCTGCACTGGTTCACTTAACAATTATGGCAAGGAAGGTCGTAAAATGGGACAAAAGTCCGTTAACAACTGTCTTGCTTAGCAACAGAAATTTTGGGCTCACTTGACTCACTGAAGTTAGGCAAATCATGAATACAGTAAGCAAACTTATGCTAGCTTAGTACTCGTGACTAGGTATAACCTTTTCAATCAGAGCTGGAAGGGGCCATAGAGGTCTTCTAGTCCAACCCCCTGGTCAAGCAAGAGGCCCTGGCCTATACTATTTCAAAATAGGTGGCTGTCCAGATTTTTTCTTAAAAAATCTTCAGGGATGTAGCAGTCACAACTTTTGAAGCCAATTTGTTCCACTGGTTAATTGACCTCACTGTTAGGAAGTTTCTCCTTAATTCTAGGTTGCTTCTCTCCTTCATTAGTTTTCACCCATTGTTTCTTGTCCTGCCTTCAGGTGCTTTGGAGAATAGCTTGACTCCCTCTTCTTTGGGGAAGCCCCTGAAATACTGGAACACTGCTATCATGTCCTCCCTCGTCCTTCTCTTCCTTAAACCAGTCATACCCAATTCCAGCAACTGTTCCTTATATGTTTTAGCCTCCAGTCCCCTAATCATCTTAGTTGCTCTCCTTTGTACTTTTTCCAAAGCATAAACATCTTTTTTTGAAATGTAGTGACCAAACCTGCATGCCCTGTGCCAGGTGTGGCCTTACTAAGCGGTACTAACACTTCACATGAATTCCTACTTTAATCTGTCTTCTTTTCTAGATCCTGGTTAAGCCTCCACCATGTTTGGGTCCTCCCGTGGGGGTGTGCGCGGTGGGCAGGACCAGTTCAAATGGGAAGATGTGAAGACAGACAAACAACGTGAAAACTATCTTGGTTAGTCTTTTCCAATTCATGGTTTGTTTAATCAACTCCCGGGAATTGACTCCACATCTGTTTAAAGAACAGAACTGCTGGGTTCAAATATCTCCAGACGCAGATTCGCTGCTGGATAAGTTAGATTGAAAGAGTGGAGCCATTTGTGACTTGCTGTCTCATTGTTTCTCAGTCTTGAAAACTTTAAGAAGTGTGGACTTAGATTAACAGCATGTTTTAAGAAAAGTGGCCTTCCAACTCCCAAAATCCCCCAGCCAGCCATGCTTTAAGATAGGTGGACTTCAACTCCCAGAATCCCTCATCCAGCATGTTTTAAGAGGGGTGGCCTTCAATTCCCAGAATCCCTCAGCCAGCATGCTTTAAGATAGGTGGACTTCAACTCCCAGAATCCCCCATCCAGCATGTTTTAAGAAGGGAAGATTTTAATTCCCAGAATGCCCCATCTACCATGTTTTAAGAGGGGTGGCCTTCAACTCCCAGAATTCCCCAGCCCGCATGCTTTAAGAAGTGGGCTTCCATTCCCAGAATCCCCAGCCATCCATGCTTTAAGAGGGGAGGACTTCAACTCCCAGAATCCCCCAGCCAGCATGCTTTAAGATAGGTGGACTTCAACTCCCAGAATCCCCTATCCAGCATGTTTTAAGAGGGGAGGACTTCAACTCCCAGAATTCCACAGCCCGCATGCTTTAAGAGAAGTGGGCTTTCATTCCCAGAATCCCCAGCCATCCATGCTTTAAGAAGGATGGCCTTCAACTCCCAGAATTCCCCATCTAACCTCTCCAGCAGTATTTTTCAATCTTAGTAACTTTAAGAGGTGTAGATTTCAACTCCCCCAATTCTTTATCACCGAGAAGATGCCCACCAACACTGACAGGGCAAGCCACTTGTATATAAACCGAGAGACTGTTCTTCTAGCACTGATGACGTTCCCTAGTTGGGTCATGAGATGTCTACAAGAAAACCACCAAGCTCAGAGAGCACCAAGGACCCCATTGTCATCCTTCTCCTCTTTCCCCTCTTCCTCCTCCTCCTCCTCCTCCTCCTCTTCCTCCTCCTCCCCCCCCCTCCCTTCTAGCACTGATGACGTTCCCTAGTTGGGTCATGAGATGTCTACAAGAAAACCACCAAGCTCAGAGAGCACCAAGGACCCCATTGTCATCCTTCTCCTCACCCCCCTCTTCCTCCTCCTCCTCCTCCTCCCTTCTAGCATTGATGATGTTCCCTAGTTGGGTCATGAGATGTCTACAAGAAAACCGCCAAACTCAGAGAGCACCAAGGTCTCCCTTAGATATTTCCCAGCTCTCCCAACCAAGGTGATATTTCAGGAGGACTAAGAGCCTCCCCCACCAGACTCTCGACCCCCCTGTGATACCTTAACTCAGGGGTCTTCAAACTTGGCCCTTTTATGACGTGTGGACTTCAACTCCCAGAATTCCTCAGCCAGGCGTGGGAGTTGAAGTCCACCATTCATAAAAGGGCCAACTTTGAAGGCCCCTGGTCTGGATCCAAGCCCACAGTTTCATCAAAATGACCAACTGAAGAATTCTGGGAGTTGAAGTCCACCAGTCATCAAAGAGCCAAGTTTGAAGGCCCCTGGTCTGGATCCAAGCCCGCAGTTTCATCAAAATGGCCGACTGAGGAATCCTGGGAGTTGAAGTCCACCAGTCATAAAAGGGCCAAGACCCCTGCCTTAACTGCTCTGTTTTCCTTTCAGGGAACTCTTTGATGGCCCCAGTGGGCCGCTGGCAGAAGGGCAAGGATCTCACCTGGTACGCCAAGGGGAAGAAAGGCGATGCATCTTTGTCCCGCAAGGAGGAGCTGAGCGCCATCCGGCGGGCAGAAGAAGAAGCTATGATGGCAGCTCTGTAAGTTTCAGATCCTCTGGTGGTCATCCTGGGTCTTCACGTAAGCTTCAGCTCTAGACAGAGAGAGAAGATATTGCAAGGTGTGGGCATGGAAGAAATAGCAGCAGACTTTCAGGAAGGAAGAAATGATATTGATCAAGGAAAATATTTGTCGCTCCGGGGTCCCTGGTGCTCTCTGAACTTGGGGGGGGGGGGTTCATGCAGACGTTTCTTGACCCAACTGGATGATATCATCAGTGCTAGAAGGGAGGGGAAATTGCAAGGAGGAGGAAGAGGAGGACTATGGTGTCCTGATGCTCTCTGAGTTTGGTGGTTCTCTTGCAGACGTTTCGTGACCCAACCAGGGAACATCATCAGTGCTGGAAGGGAGGAGGAGAAGGAGAACTGTGGGGTCTTTGGTGCTCTCTGAGCTTGGTTGCTTTCTTGAAGATATTTCATGACGCAACGAGGGAACATAATTAGTCCTAAAAGGGATTCTGCCTTCTAGGGAACATCAACGTTCTGATGATGTTACATAGTTGGGTCATGAAACGCTTTGAAGAAAACCACCAAGCTCAGAGAGCATCAAGAACCCCACCGTAGTAGTCCTCCTCCTCCTCCTCCTCCCATTCCGTCCTTCTTTCCTTCCATCCATCCATCCATCCATCCAACCATCCATCACTGATGATGTTCCCTAGTTGGGGTCATGAAACATCTGCAAGGAAACCACCTAGTTCAGAGAGCACGAAGGACCCCACAGTCATTTTCCTCCTCTTCCTCCTCCTCCTCCTCCTCCTCCTCCTCCTCCTCCTCCCTCCCTCCCTCCCTTCCTTCCTTCCTTTCTTTTATCACTGATGATGTTCCCTAGTTGGGTCATGAAACATCTGCAAGGAAACCACCAAGCTCAGAGAGCACCAAGGACCCAACAATCCTCCTCCTCCTCCTCCTCCTCCTCCTCCTCCTCCTCCTCCTCCTCCTCCTCCTCCTCCTCCATCTCTACCCTTTCCTTCTCTTTCTCCTCCTCTTCCTCCCCCTATAAACCCCATTTTCTTCTAGCACTGATGATATTATCCAGTTGGGTCATGAAACATTTGCAAGAAAAGCAACATGTTCAGAAAGCACCAAGGACCCCACAGTCGTCTTCCTCCTCCTCCTCCTCCTCCTCCTCCTCCTCCTCCTCCTCCTTCTCCTCCTCCTCCTCCTCTTTGCAACCTCCCTCCCTTGTAGCACTCATGATGTTACCTACTTGGATAATTATTAAGAAAATTATTAAGAAATGAAGGACTCTTTGTTTCTTTTCAGTTTTTCCACTAACCTGGGTTGGAGGATTCAGAGGTTACTTGAAGGGAGGCCAAGCAAGGTCACCAAATTGCCAAGCTGGAAAAAAAAATAAGTGTTTTATTCTGGAATGTGGAGGATTAGCCCAGTAGACGCAGAGGGCTGTCAGGAAATTAAATTCCTTAATTCCAGGTTGGGTCTCTCACCCGTCCTTCGTTTTGTCGTTTTGCAGGGGTTACAAGAACGTGAAAAAGCAGCCGACGGGGCTGAGCAAAGAGGTATTTTATCCATTTATAAAATAATAGAATAACAGAGTTGGGACGGACTTTGGGGGTCTTCTAGTCCAACTCCCTTCTCAAGCAGGAAACCCTATAAATCGTTTCAGGCAAATGGTTGTCCAATCTCCTCTCAAATGTGATTTTAGTACACGGGCCCCCAGGTTTTTATACTAAGCAGCCATAGAATAAAATAGGGTTGCGAATAAATTCAGTTGGCTATTTTCTGAGAGGCTAAGAAACGAACTGTGTTTCAAAGTAGCTTGGTGCTTTAATAATAAGCTCACAATTTGATCTGCTTTGAATTCTTTGTGTGTGTGTGAGAGAGAGAGAGAGAGAAAGGGAGGGAGAGAGAGAAAAAGAAAGAAAGAAGGAGAGAGAAAGACAGAAAGAGAGAAAGAAAAGGAGAGAGAAAGAGAAAGAAAGAAAAAGGGAGAGAAAGAAAGGGAGAGAAAGACAGAAAGAGAGAAAGAGGGAGGGAGAGAGAGAAAGACAGAAAGAAAGAAAGAAAGAAAGAAAGAAAGAAAGAAAGAAAGAAAGAAAGAAAGAAAGAAAGAAAGGGACAGAGAGAAAGAGAAAGAAAGAGAGAGGGAGAGATGGCACAAAGCATCCCATCTTTTTGGCCCAAGGAAAACTGCAAACGCTGCTTTTAGGGAGATGCCCAATCTCTGCATATCTTACAAAAACAGGGCAAAGAAACTATTTAATCCGTTTTGATAAGGGATAAATTTCTACCATCTGGGAAGTTCTCAGCTTACGACCACAATAAGAACCAGCATTTCCGTTGCTAACCGAGATGGTAGTTAAGTGAATTTTGCCCCATTCTACGACCTTTCTTGCTCCAGTCGTTAAACAAATCCTTGCAGTTGTTAAGTGAGTCACACGGCTGTTATGTGAATCCGGCTTCCCCCATTGACTTTGCCTGTCAGAAGGTCGCAAAAGGGAATCACAGGATGCTGCGACTGTCGTAAATATGAACCAGTTGCCAAGTGTCTGCATTTTGATCACTTGACCCTGGGGGATGCTGCAACCGTCGCAGTCACAAGTCACTTTTTTCAGTGCTGTTGTAACTTCAAACAGTCACTAAACAATTGGTTGCAAATTGAGGACTACCTACCGTAGCACAAGGGCACATAAGGTGGTTTATTGACCTCAGACCTGTCTGTAACTGTTTCCCAGGACCTCGCCGAAGTCTGCAAACGCAACGAAGGAGATCATGATGATAAGAGTGTCCATCGTATCATGGGACTGGGTAGTTCACGGTAAGCACTTCGCCCTACCTGGTGGGACTGGAGGTTTAAGAAAGGTGAGAAGCAGTGTGGGCTAGTGGTGAAGCAGCTGGACCAGGAAGCTGGTTCTACTCACCCCAGGAGGGTTCGGGTTGGGATAAAACAGCGTTTTCTGAACTTCAGCAACTTGAACATGGGTGGACTTCAACTCCTAGAATTCTCCACTCAGCCAGCTGGGGAATTCTGAGAGTTGACGTTCGTTCCCGTGTCTTTCAAGCTTGCTAAGGTTGAGAAAGACGGATGTAAACAATATGGAAGATGAGCTGGACAAGATAGGCCGGATCCATTACCCAGACCAATAAGGGGAAAAACAATCTGCAGGGTTTTGAACATACAACATAGTTTTTGAGCAGGCGGTTGGGCCATTTCGGACAAATGGCTGTCCAGTCTCTTCTTGAAAACTTCCAGTGTTGGAGCATTCACCGTTTCTGGAGGCAGGTTGTTCCACTGGTTAATTGTTCTAACTATCAGGAAGTTTCTCCTTAGTTCTAGGTTGCTTCTCTCCTTGATTAGCTTCCATCCATTGTTTATTGTCCTGCCTTCAGGGGCTTTGGAGAATAGCTTGACTCCCTCTTCTTTGGGGCAGCCCCTGAGATACTGGAACACTACTATCATGTCCCCCCTCGTCCTTCTCTTCGTTAAATTAGACAGACCCAATTCCAGCAACCATTCCTTATATGTTTTAGCCTCCAGTCCCCTGATCATCTTTGTTGCTCTTCTCTGCACTCTTTCTAGAGTCTCAGCATCTTTTTTACATTGTGGTGACCAAAACTGGATGCAGTATTCCAAGTGTGGCCTTACCAAGGCCTTGTAAAGTGGTATTAACACTTCACGTGATCTTGATTCTATCCCTCTGTTTATACAACCCAGGATTATATTAGCTTTTTTGGCAGCTGCAGCACCTATCTAAGTGATTGTCCACTAGGACTCCGAGGTCCCTCTCACAGTTGCTAGTTGTACATCAACAACTACCTGTACATTGTTAGCAAGGATGAATTTTGTATAGCTCTTCACAACAGCCTTTTTTCTTTCTAAAAAAAAATAATGTCCTGTTTACACACACACACACACACACACACACACACCTAGCAGGACTGTGGGTTTTTTTAAGGAAAACAAAATTTTCCTTTTAAGGATGACCACCTAAACCAGTGGTTCTCCACCTGTGGGTCGGGACCCCATTTGGGGTCGAACGACCATTTCACGGGGGTCGCCAAACAACGCAGTCCGCCATTTTTCCCCCCTTTTCCTTAGCTGTGCTACTCCCTTTTATTCTATTGGCTTTTGAAAGCCAATAGAATAGACTCTCTTGAATAGAGTCTAATTCTATTGGCTTTCAAAAGCCAATAGGAATTGTCCGGGCTGTCTCTGCCCTGCTGAGCCCGCCAAAAGTCCCATTCTGCAAACGGTGCTGCACCAGTTGAGTAGTCCTCGACTTACGACCAGTTGAGTAGTCCTCGACTTACGACCGGTTGGGGGGGGGGTCGCAGCATTAAAAAGGTTGAGAACCACTCACCTAAACCGAAAGCAAAAATTAAGGTCTTCTCTGGTCTTTAATTCCGTTTTAATTTTTTTAGGAATGCTGGCGCCAGGGTGATGTTTTCTAAGGAAGATAAAGAAGCTGCGAAACTAGGCCTTTCCGTGTTTACGGTAAGTTGTGTTGGCCGCACAACATTGTGGCCAATCCAGCGTTGCTTTCCTCACGACTGTCCTGTCTGGGATTTTTTGATCCGTTTCCTGTTTTTGTCTCCGAAATTTCAGCATCAGCCAATGGCAAAGACCGCCAAACCCTCAACTCCTCCGCAGAGGCTGGATGAGGAAAACAAGGCCGCAGTGTTGGAGTAAGGGCCCTCTCGATTTTATTATATTTTTAATTTATTTTATGGATTTACAGGCAGTCCTCGACTTACCCACACTTCGCTTAGTGACCGTTCAAAGCTACCAGGGCAGTATAAAAGCTGATTTATGACCGTTTTTCACACTTTACGACTGTCGCAGCATCCCTCATGGTCACGTGGCCAAGACTCAGACGTGCTTGGCAACTGACTCGTATTTATGACGGTGTTGCAACCTCCCAGGGTCACGTGATCCCCTTTTGCGACCTTCTGACAAGCAGGAAGCTAGTCTCACTTAACCGCGTGATTCACTTAGCAACCGCAGTAATTCACTTAACGGTTAAGCAAGGAAGGAAGGTCGCAAAATGGAGCAAAACTCACTTCGCAACTGGCTCGCTTAGCCACAGAAATTCTGGGCTCCCCTGTGGTCCTAAATCAAGGACCCCCTGCAATGCAGGACATGCGTAAGATGCCTACAACGATTAAAATAATACCTGTAATGTAGATATATCTCTTTTATGAGATGATTAAAATCGGGATGCTTGGCAACTGACTCGTATTTATGACGGTCACGGTGTCACGTGATCCCCTTTTGCGACCTTCTGACAAGCGAAGTCAAATGGGGAAGCCGGATTCGCTTAACGACCGTGTTGCTAAATTAACAATTGCAGTCAGTCACTTAGTAGCCGTGACAAGAAAGGTCTTAATCTGGGGCAAAATTCACTTAAATGTCTCACTTAGCAACAGGAATTTTGGGCTCAGTTGTGGTTGTAACTTGAGGACTAGCAGTACCATGCTGTTACCTGTGACCTGTGTGAGCCTAACCCCCCCCCTCCACCCCTTGGGGCAACATTTAGGCCTAGTGGGGATATTTTGGGTGGAATAGAAACCAATGTGAAAGAGGATGGTCTTTCCTTGATTTATCCGGCAGGAGCGGAGTTGTCAAGAAGTCGAAAAAGGAGAAGCAGAAGAAAAAGAAAAAGGAGAAAAAGAAACAGAAGAAAGAAAAGAAAGAGAAGAAAGACAAAGAAAAGAAGGAGAACAAAGAAAAAAAGGAGAACAAAGAAAAGAAAGACAATAAAGAAAAGGAGAATAAAGAAAAGAAAGAGAATAAAGAAAAGAAAGAGAATAAAGAAAAGAAAGAGAAGAAGAAGAAAGGGAAAGAAAAACACCAGAAGAGAGAGTCATCCTCATTGCACAACTCTACATCAAATAATGAGAAAAGGTATCACGCCAGCTGGGGGATTCTGGGAGTTGAAGTCCTCCCCTCTTAAAGCATGCGGGCTGGGGGATTCTGGGAGTTGAAGTCCTCCCCTTTTAAAGCATGGCTGGCTAGGGAATTCTGGGAGTGGAAGTCCTCCCCTCTTAAAGCATACAGGCTGGGGGATTCTGGGAGTTGAAGTCCATCCATCTTAAAGCAAGGTGGCTGGGGGATTCTGGGAGTGGAAGTCCACCTAGTCCAAAGAGGAATTTTTGTAAAGTTATGTCTCTTTGAAAGTGTCCTCTACCTCATTCCTCACTCTGTATAGCACAACTAGTTCTCAACTTACAACCTCAATGGGGACCAGAATTTCTGTTGCTGAGCAACTTAGCTGTTGAATCAATTTTACCCAGTTTCACCTTTTTTTGCTGCCGTTTGTTAAGCAAATCTCTTCCGTTGTTAAGTGAACCACATGGTCATTAAATGAATCCAGCTTCCCCCACTGAAATCAGCTGGGAAGGTCACAAATGGGGATCACAGGACCCCGTAAATATATGCAACCATCCTAAATATATGCTGGTTGCCAAGTGCTCAAATTTTGATCACATGGGTTGTGGGGATTACACAATGGTTGTAAGAATGAGGACCTTTTCGTAAGCCACTTTTTTTCAGTGCCCTTGTAACTTGAAATGGTCGCTAAAAATGGCCGTAAGTTGAGGACTACTTTAAGTCGCTCTGAGAGGCAGGAAGCAGAGTCGCCTCTGCCATTAAATAAAAGAAATTTGGGTCTGGCCTAGAACTGTCATTCGAGAAAGCGTCTCAGACAAGACACTTTTTTTTAAAGATTCTTTTACTACAAGTAGTCCTCGGTTTACAGCCATCCATTTAACGACCGTTCAAACTGACAACAGTACTGAATAAAACAAAATATGACCGTTTGCCTCATGACTGTTGCAGCCTCCCTCGCAGTCACGTGTTCAAAATGCTTGGGAACTGATTCGTATTGATGACGGTCGCAGTGTCCTGGTGGGGGGGTCACATGATCCCCTTTTGTGACCTTGTAACAATGGGGAAGCCCGATTCATTTAGGAACCATGTGATTCACTTAACAACTGTTGCAAGCAAGGTCGTAAAATGGTGCACCACTCACTTAACAACTGCCTCAGAGATTTGGGGCTCAATGGTGGTCATAAGTTGAGGACTACCTGTATAACTTCAATCATAAAAATAGTATTAGCTTCCATGATGTCGGATTCGCAGTCTGGTCTGGTCTGCTTCGAAGGGCTGGTGTCCTGTCTGGGCTCAGCTGTGGTCAAGTCGAGAATTACCCGTATAATTTATATTTATTCGAAGTAGACCAGACCAGACTGCGAATCCGACATCATGGAGGCTAATACTATTTTTATGATTGAAGTTATACAGGTAGCAATTGCTCCTCGAAGCACGAAGCTGAAAACACCAGCCTGAAGATGACAAATGGGACTTCATCGAAACGTTGCCAAGACACTTCCAATTTTACGCGGGAGAAAACCCGAATAACCAAAGACCTACATACAAACACCTGTGAAAACCTCAGAAAACATATCACAAGGGCTTAATATTTTATCAGCAACATATTGTCTGGGTTCCAACACTTAACTTACTAATACATATTAAGTTCCTTTCTCTCTACCTTGTTTTTCCAGCCATAAAAGGTATCCCGTGTTCTAAAATAAATGAGTCTTTTTTTTCTCTTTCATTTTCAATGTCAATCTATCCATTTCTGCACACTCTTAAAGATTTTTTTAATTAACTCTCCCTCCGTTGATAAACCTTCATTTTTCCAATGCTGAGCACATACAATTCTTGCTGCAGCTAATATATGTAAAATTAAATATATACATTTTCTCATTATGCCTAACAAAAATAATTCTGGCTTAAAATCTATATGTTTTTTAATCATTTTCTCGTATAATTTTAATCATAAAAGTAGCCTTCGCCTCCATGGTGTCGTTTTCTTAGTGTGGTCTACCTCACAGGGCTGGCATCCATTCTGCGAATTACATTACCTGATTTTGCCATTGTTGCTATTCACAGGAAACAGAAGCCCTCTCTGGATCCTAGCCGGAGTGACAAACCCTCATCCCCGGCCCGAGCATCACACTCACACTCTGACCGGTGTGAACGCAACACAACTCCGACGTCTTCCTCCAAGCAGAAAAAGAAGGAGCACCGACATCGAAGTCATACCCAGGTCCCGTTTTCCGGAGGCAGAACTTCAGAGTCCCGGAAACGGACACGGGACGAATCCTTAAAATCCATCCCCGCTAAAAGGCGGCATGACACGGATTCAGACAATTGACCCCTCTTTCTAAAACAAACCAGAGTTTCCCATCATGTCGTTACTTTGACCCTAAAGCGGAAACCGATTCTGGTTTGGCGCAAAATTCCGTATCCTTTTTCTAGGCGGGACGTTGATTTCCCTCTGTCCGTTGTTACCGCTGCCCCAAAAGGGTCTTTTTTTTGTTGTTGTTGTTCAAAAGGATCCTGAACTTTAACAAACACAAAATTTATGTTAACCGATCAGTGGAAGTTGATCGTTTACAAGTGCCGGGCCCAAAATAGGAAATTATTTGAGGTTTTGGTGTTTTTTTTTAAACTTCTCTCCCAGATTGATGAAAAGAAAGCATCCACTCCTGATCGGTCATGCAGAATTTAATTTTTTTCAAAAAAAGCAATAGAAGGCTGATTTCCAAAGATCGGAGATTGGGAATCAGGTACATCCCAAACAGGAGATACATCAGATTGCAAAAATCCGCTTCTGAAATTCATCAGGCCAAACCAAAGACAGAGGAATGCAAACAGATTATGGGGTTGTTTGTTTGTTTGTTTGTTTTGTGTAGTTGCGACCATTGGCCGATTTCAGAAGCAACCACGGGTCTTGTAATTACAGAACAGATTTAATTACAGATATTGTCATTAAACTGAATCATTGGGATCAGCTCAGCATCTTCATCCCTTTTGACGAGAATGCAAGGTGTTGGCCACTGATGTCTCTTCCCAGCTATATTCTGACTGCAATTTTTCTTAGATCCAAGAATTTTCGGGAATTATGCCAACTCCAGAAGAAATAGGCTGAGGATTTTAGAAAACAGCAAAGTATAAATATATTTAGTCTTCAAGGTGTTAATTATCTTGGCTTATTTTTTTCCAACAGGCCGCATCACTGCCAATTTTAAGGCTGCTTCCTTCTGCAATTTATAAATTCTGAACCCCTTTGAAATTTAGAAATTACAAATCTCTTTGCAGTTTACAAATTCAAAAGCCCTTTGCGATTTAGAAATTGCAAGCCCATTTGCAATTTAGAAATTAGAAACGCTTTTGCAGCTTACAAATTCAAACCTCTTTGCCATTTAGAAATTACAAATCCCTTTGTAACAGACATTTTGAACCCCTTTGCAATCTGCAAACTCAAACCTCTTTGCAGTTTAATTACAAACTTTTATAATTTTCAAATTACAAACCCTGTTGCAATTTACAAACTCAAATCCCTTTGAAAGGGGGACCTCAACCATCCTCAGAATTCAAAGAGAATTTAATTATAGGGAGTCCTCAAGAACCGTTTGTTTAGTGGCTGTTTGACAACTTTACAACCATTGTGACATCCCCCTGGTCACATGGTCAAAATTCAGGCTTGGCAACTGACTTGTATTTATGTCGGTTGCAGAGTCCCGGGGTCACGTGATCTCCTGTTGCGACCTTCTATCAAGCAAAGTCAATGGGGGAAGCTGGATTCACTTAACAACTGTGTGACTCACTTAACAACTGCAGTGATTCTGTGGCAAGAAAGATTGTAAAATGGGCTCCATTGTGGTCGTAATTTGAGGACTACCTCTATATGTCTTCTACGTGGTCTTACTGATCAATCCAACCCTGAAGGCAATTGGAGTTCCATATTAGGAAAAAAGGACGGTGCACCTTCATGAGGACTGGCATCTTGGCACTTCCTGGGAGAAAACAGATAGCTAAGTTCTTATCAGTTGCTAATTGTAAGTGCATTTTGGGGCATTTGCACACAATATCTTCACCCACTCGGCTTTGGTTTCTGGCACATCTGTTGCAATGTCCTCTGAAGTTTTGTGTGGGTAGAAGTGGGCAACCACACTGCCAATTCAGCCACAATTTTCTCCTCTTCCTCGTTTTTGTGCAGTGGTTTCCTTTTGAAGTCACCGAAAGTGATTGTTGGGGAAACAACACAGAATTTGAGTCCTCTAGAACAGAGTTTTACAACCTTGGCAACTTTAAAATGAGCAACTTCAACTCCCAGAATCCCCCAGCCAGCCATCCTTTAAGAGGGGAGGACTTCAACTCCCAGAATCCCTAGCTGGCATACTTAAATAGGGGAGGACTTCAACTCTCAGAATCCCAGCCAGCATCCTTTAAGAGGGGAGGACTTCCACTCCCAGAATCCCCCAGCCAGCATGCTTTAAGAGGGGAGGACTTCAACTCCCAGAATTCCTTAACCAATGTGGTTGGCTGAGGAATTTTGGGAATTGAAGTCCCAAAACATTGGATAGAGCTAGTAGTTCTCAAAGGGTTTGATCTATAGTGGTTCCATAGCGGGACCTTCTGAGTGGTAGCCCCCCCCTTCACAAAAAGCTTATATATATAAAAATATTCTGTAATAATTTTCTGTATGGGAGAATGTGGATCTTGGAGAAGAGAAAGTGAGAAGAAATGTTGGATTTTTGAAGAGCCCTTATAAATGGCTCTTATTATGTTGTTTCCCACTTGTGTTTGTTCCTCCATTAAAAATGGAGAAATACAGGTAGTCCTCAACGCACAATGCTTCATTTAGAGACCGTTCAAAATTACAACGACACTGAGAAAAGTGATTTATGACCATTTTTCACACTTAGGAACATCCGAACATCCCCAAGCATCTGATCAAAATTCAAACGCTTGGCAAACTGACTCATACTTATGACGGTCGCACGTCCCGGGGTCACGTGATCCCCTTTTGCAACCTTCTGACAAGCAAAGTCAATGGGGGAAGCCAGATTCACTTAACAACCCTGTTCATCACTTAACAATTGTCACGATTCATTTAACAGCTGTAGCAAGAAAGGTTGTAAAATGGGGCTAAAGTCACTTAATAAATGTCTCACTTAGCAAAAAAAAAAATTGGGGGCTCAATTGTGGCTGGATGTTGAGGATTACCTGTATTAATATGATAAAAGTATTAAGAATAATATCAGATCTTTGTTGCAGATGGTCACTAGATGGCAGCAAAGGGTTTTTTTAAAAAGAAGGGAGCTATTTTGTGTTTGTTTTTTTGTATCTTTTTGCTGCCCTCTTCTGGTCCTCCAAAGTATTGCAGGCTAAATCTGGCAATCTACAGATAGTCCTCAACTTAACAATTATTTAGTGACCATAGTTACAACAGCACTGAAATGCCGTTTTTTATACTTATGACTATTATATGACACCCTTTTGCAATGTTCTGGCAAGCAAATGCAATGGGAAAAGCCAGATTCCCCTGTGACAAAATGGTCATAAAAAGGGGTAAAACTCATTTAAGAACTGTCTTGCTTAACATAATGGAAATTTTGGGCTTTTCTGAGATAACAGTTGCATCAAGTTAGATCTGATTTGAATTCACCTCCAAAAACTGTTCCTTCAGGCAGGTAAAGATTATTTTAAACTGGTTTTGCTCCAGTCCAGGCTGAGACTGCAAAAGTGGGGAAAATTAAAGAAAATTTGGACTATTACTCCCTTTAATTAAAATTTAATTGTTAACTAAAAATTAAAATTCATGTTCAAATTCAGTGCAAACTTCATTTAGTTCTTGGCTTAATTTGAACATGAATTTTAATTTTGAATTAACATTGTAATGAATGTTTCCATGAAAGTTTTCAAGAAGTTTTAATTGTCTGCACCAAATGCCCGGAGTCTTTTCATATTCTCCTTTTTTTATGTCATCTTTTTTCTAAAATGCAGGGAACCACCCCAAGAAGGGCAGCCCTAAATTTAATCCATCGATTAAGGAGTAAATCAGAAAATAAAATCTGTGTGTAGGGGGAGGGGGAAATACCAATGTATCAATGGAGAAAAATAACAGGTGGCCCTAAAAGTAACGTATTAAAATCCAATAAAGCAGTGGTTCTCAACCTTTTTAATGCCGCGACCCCCAACCGGTTGTAAGTCGAGGAATACTCAACCGGTCGTAAGTCGAGGACTACTCAACTGGTGCAGCACCGTTTGCAGAAGGGGACTTTTGGCGGGCTCAGCAGGGCAGAGACAGCCTGGACAATTCCTATTGGCTTTTGAAAGCCAATAGAATTAGACTCTATTCAAGAGAGTCTATTCTATTGGCTTTCAAAAGCCAATAGAATAAAAGGGAGTAGCACAGCTAAGGAAAAGGGGAAAAAAAATGGCAGACTGAGTTGTTTGGTGACCCCCGTGAAATGGTCGTTCGACCCCAAATGGGGTCCCGACCCACAGGTGGAGAACCAGTGCAATAAAGGGAAGGAAGGAGGGAGGGGAGGAAGGAAGGATGGAAAAAAGATGGAAAGAAGGGAGGAAGGAAAGAAGAAAGATAAGAAGGGGAGGAAAAAACAAGAAAGGGAAAAGGAAGGAAGGGAAGAAAAGATAGGAAGGGGAAAAGAGGAAGGAAGATGGGAAGGGAAGAAAAAATGAAAGGGAGGAAGGAAAGAAAAAATAGGAAGGGAAAAAATGGAAGGAAGGAAGGTAAAAGAAGGAAGATAGGGGGAGAAAAGATGGATGGAAGCAAGGAAGGTAGGACAGAAGGAAAAAAGATGGAAGAAGGAAGGAAAGAAGATAGGAAGGGGAAAGGAAAGAAAGAAGGAAGAAAAAGAAGAAAGAAAAGGAAAACGTAAAACATGGAAAAGATAAATGTTTTCTTTTTTTAAACTGGAAAAGCAGAAAAAAATCACTTTGGGTTGTTTTTTCTTGCTTTTAATTGCAATAAAATTGATATGTCCTGTCCTGTACTTCGAAGGATGCTTTTCACTCAATTGCTTTACAAGAGGACACTGGCGAAGCCATAAAACCGTGCAATTGATGTCTTTTTTATAAAGCATATTTCTCAGTTTAGGGCTTGGGGCTGGCTGGTGCCTAAGCTTCCTGCTATAAGGGGGGAGGGGGCAGGAGAGGAAGTGGGGCCCAAAGACACCCCCCCCCAATAACCTCCTTACATAACAAAGTTGGTGGGAAGGGTGGAACTTCTCACCTACATGTTAAGTAGGGGAATCCCGTGAGAAAAGCAGCTTTATGGGCAAAACCGGGGGTCATAAGCCCCCAGGAGAGGGCAATCCAGCCCCCCTCCCCCCCAAAAAACAGGGGCACAAAATTGTGAGATTGGGGTGTCGTAAAAGAACAAAACCAAGCCACACACAGGCAGAGAATGCTAACAAAACTGACAAAACAGCCAGAGGTGGCCTCACTTGGAAAAGTTCCCAGGCCATTGCAAACATACACACACACACATACATACAAAAATGTGGAATTTATGCTAGAAACATCCATTGATACAGTCTTGGGTGACACAGTTTTGGCCAGGAATTAGGAACGGGGTTCCTATCTTTGCAAATGGTTCAGTCAGAAAGCTCTGGGGCATTGTGGGAAATTGCACAGAGAGCTCAGCTTTTCCAAATGGGTTGGGATAATGACAAAATTTCCTTTGGGCTAGGAAGGTTTTGCAAGGGGGGGAGGGGCAGAGTCTGCACCAGGTTTTGTCAAACTGGGCAACTTTAAGACTTCAGGGGTAGACTTCAACTCCCAGAATTCCTCAGCCATCACGCATTAAGAGGGGAGGCTGGCTGGGGGATTCTGGGAGCTGAACTCCACACGTCTTACCGTTGCTCAGATTGAGAAACACTGATTTTATAGCTCACCATTCACCTTCCATGTATTAGCAAGAAACTGGGCCCAAAATAGACAAAAAACCCCCATCCAAATCTTCTGAGGATCCCACTCCACCAGTTTCTCCCAATCCCATAATATCCTAAAAAATTTCCACAGGAATTCAGCGAGGCGAAGGGCCACCCCAAACAAGGGCGTGGGACAGGATGGGAGAACGTAGAATGTTGCCACTGACTTGTATTTATGACGGTTGCAGTGTTCTTTTTCTTTTGTAATCTTCAGACAAGTAAGATCAGGGGACAGCCAGATTCACTTAACAACCGTGCGATTCGCTTAACAACGGTAGTCAGAAAGGTTGTAAAATGGAAAAATTCATTTGTTTCGTTTAGCGACAGAAAGTTTGGGCTCATTTGCGGTCATACGTCGAGGATTATCTGTATGCGAAGTAGTCAGAGGTTTTATCCTCACCGTAATTGTTCAAAAATTGATCCACAATTGAACCAAATTTTTTGGGGGGAAAAACCCAGATTTTGAAAATCGGGCACAACCAGCAGGGGGCAGTGGCGAATCAAGTACAGGAAAAGCCCAGCACAGCTGGAAAGGGAAAGGTGGGAAAAATCAACTTTTAACCATAGATCGGAAGTGACTTGAAAAATATTGTGTATTTTTTAAAAAATAGACCGTTATTCTTATTTGACCATTGATTAGATTAAAATCAAGGGAAGAATATTTTGTGAGCGTTTGTTTTTCAGAATATTTGTTATTAGTAGTTTAAGGTATTTAAAATATTGATTATTCATTTAAACTTTTGAAAAGTGTGCTGTGCCGTATTATCTGTGTACTAAAAAAGTGGGTCCCCTTCCTTCCTCTTTCCTTCTTCCCTCTATTTTCTTTTCCTTCCTTCCTTCCTTCCTTCCTTCCTTCCTTCCTTCCTTCCTTCCTTCCTTCCCTGCTTTCTTTTCCTTTTTCGCTCTATCTTTCAGCCCTTCTCCCTCCCTTTCTATTTCTTTCCTTTCTTTTTCTCTCCCTTCCTTCTTTCTAGCTCTCCACTCCCTTTCTTTCCTTTCTCTCTCTCTCTCTCTCTCTCCCTCCCTCCTTTTCTTTCATTTCTTCTGCCTGTCATTTAATCAGCGATAAGTTTGCTGGCAGGTCTTTCTGATAGATTAAAAAGCATCCGGTTAGGGAGCATCTCCAGCTAAAGAGATTATGGGGGGAACAATCCTCAATTTACAACTATAAGGGAGATCAGAATTTTCATCGTTAAGTATAGCGTTTGTTATGAGCTGTGCCTGACTTTAGGACCTTTCTGCCATGGTTGTTAGACTCGCTGCAGTCATTAAGTGGATCAGGCAGTCGTTAAGCAGATCTGGCTTCTCCCGTGCACTTTGCTTCTCGAAAGCCAGCTGGGGAAGTCGCAAAAGGGGATTACGGGATGCTGCAAGCGTCATAAATGTGAGTTAGTTGCCAAATGTCTGAATTTTGATCATGTGACCGTGAGGAGGCTACAACGGTCGTTAAGTGTGAAAAACGGTCGTAAGTCCTTGCTGTTGTACTTTTGGTCACTAAGAGAATGGTCGAGGACTACCTGAAATCCTTTGTATCTACTCCCAGGTAGATTCTTCTGCAATTGATTCCCCATCAGAGGCTCAAGTCTTCTCCAATGCCACCCGGCCTCAAATCCTCCCGGACCCTCCCCATTGTTGTGGGGAGGCAGCCTGGCCCTTCCCCACCACGGATGCTGGGGCTGGCCCAATTACAGTGGGAGCTTTCCTGGACAAGCTGGGAACCCAGTCTCAGCTTCCAAGTTTCTAGTCCACATGCTGTCTGATATTTGGAGGAGACTGAAGTTTGCTTGGAGAACAAGGTCAAGGCTGTTTCCTCTACAGCTGAAGCTAAGGGTGGTCCTTGCTTAATGACCGGTTGTTTTTCAACCGTCAGCCAAGCGTAAAGCACCCCAAGGGGCCATAATGCTCAGGCTGCAGCCCCTTAAGCCATGCAATCGCATGTCGGGTCACGCTCATGACCAGTTATGGTGTTTTGTGCTTGTGTGACTGCAATTCACTTTTTTTTTTTTTTAACCAGTCTTTGGAAAACAAACAAAAAACACTCATTCAAGTGAATGCGTTTCCTTAACCACCAAGAAAAAGGCCAGAAAGTTACTTCCGGTCTTATGGGTGCTTCAGTTTATGTCCGTAATTCCAGGCTGTTAATGGTTTTAAGTCCAGGACTATCTGTAGTTGAGCCATCAACCAGTGGGAATGATCAGAAGCAGGCGCAGTCAGCGTCTTCTCATTTTACCCAGCATTCAGAACACAGAATAGTCTGCTTGGGAGGGACCTCGGAGGTCATCTAGTCCAACCCCCTGCTTGGGCAGCACCTTCTATATACCCTCTCAAACGGCTGTGCAGTCTCTTTTTTAAAACCTCCAGTGATGGAACGAACACTCGCGACTTCTGAAGGCAAGTCCTTCTACTGATAATTGTTCTGTAAGGGAAATTTTTTAGTTCTTGGTTAGTTCCCTCTTTGCTTCGTTTCCATCCGTGGCTTCTTGTCCTGCTTCCAGGCGCCTTGGAGAAGAGGCTGACCACCACCCCGCTTTGGGGCAGCCCCTCAAATATTGGAAGACTGCCATCATGTCTCCCCTTGTTCTCCTTTTCATTAAACTAGACATACCCAGTTCCCGCCAACTGTTCATTTTTAGCCTGCGGCCCCTGCAATCATCTTTGTTGCTCTTGTCTGCACTCTTAATTTCTAGTCTCGACATCTTTTTTTTATATCCTGGCGACCAAAACTGGACGCAGTTTTCCAAGTGTGGCCTTATCGAGGAATTATAAATTGGTATGAACACTTCACGTGATCTTGATTCCATCCCTGACAATTAGTCTAGGATTGCATTGGGTTTTTTTTGGCTGCTGATGCACACTGCTGGCTCATACTTAAAATGGTAACCAACTAAGGCACCTAGATCTCTTCTCTTAATGGGTCAATGGCGTGGCTGTCCTCCAACGTCCCTATGAGAGAACAAATGGGACAGTTTAAGGATAATTATAAAATAACAGAGTTGGATGGGACCCTGGAGATCTTCTAGTCCACCCACTGCTCAAGCAGGAGGCCCTATACCACAGCTCCCAGACTTTCCAGCCGAGCAGGAAAATGCACACGTGGCTTGCACATGTGCACGCACAGCAGTGGCGTGGCTACCTCACGGGGCTGCAGCTCGCCAGCTATTCCTGTGGCCCAGTGGGGGCCCCCAACCTATGGTCCGGTTGGGCTGCAGACCATAGGTTGGGGACCCCCGTCCTGTATCATTTCAGACAGATGGCTGTCCAATCTCTTCCTAAAACCACCTAGACAAAACCTCCACTAGTGGAACAATTAGCAAACACAAATGCTGCTACCCGATATTAAGTCCCCACGGGCCAGATCCGAGCGCGAGAGAACAAGCCAAACACACCCCAGGGAATAGTTAAGAGATTTTTATTCTAATAGCTTTAATTACAGTGCTCGTTCGTTGAAATGATAACTGAAAACAAGTATACAAAACAGTTGATTACTGTATTGAAAGCAAACGAGGGAGGGTGGTTTTTTTTTTTTTCCTTGTCCACACCAAACAAACCAGTTCCGATCGTGTTTTTTTCATGAGTTGCAATAGCTCCAGGTTTTTCGGTGGTATTTTTTTTAATTATCAAAATACAAAAGAAAAAAAAAACTGAACAAAAAAAGTTAAAATCTGGGATGGCAAATCTCAAACCTTGCAGGATGAGGGATGTAAAAAAAGGGTGTTTCTTGCCTTCCGAAAATGGAATCTAGACACATCTTAAGAATGGAAGACGCCCGATTATCAAACTCTCATGTTTTCGATATCCTCCACCCCCCCCCCCCACTTTCCCAGATGTAACAACGGAAAAGCTCGTGTGACATTTCTTATTTAAGTACAGTACTTGCTGAGGTGGGGCTGCCGTTGTGACGTTTGTGTAAGAGGACCGTCTTTGGAAATAATTCTAGGCTGGAGAAGTACAAGGATTTTTGAAGGAGCTACGCCCCACAGAGACAGAGAGGAAGATGAAGATGGCACCAATAGGTTGGAGGGGAAAAAAATAATTTTTAAAATCGAAATCTAAGGGGCAGTTAAAAGAGTACAGGGTGTGTGTGTGTGTGTGTGTGTGTGTGTGTGTGTCCCAATTTCTTGTTAATCTGCAACTTCTACTGACTTCGCTCTAACTCTGGGGTAAGTCTCCCACCCAGCTCCCATCACAAAAAGGTCAAGCTAATTTTATGATCTGGAACGAGGGAAATTGCTGGTGTCAGTCGTTGCAGAAATTGCAAAGGGTCCTGGGTTCAAGTCTTTCCACCCACCTTCCCACCCACACCCACCCCCGTCTTCTAAAAAGAAACTCATCCCCAGGCTTAAAAACATGGCTGTGGAAATCAGATCTGCAAGCCGAGAGGGATCGAGTCCACACACGCGCGCACAAACCAACAAAACAAGATTCCTGGCAACCTTTTTTTTTCTCTCTCTCTCTTTTCTCTTCCTGAATCCCCTCAAAGTTGTTGGGTTCTTTTTCTTTCTTTCTTTTTAATCTTTATCATAAAAAAAAAAAAAATCCGAATAATATTGCATAGGAGTACCAGAAACTTGCCTCGTGGGAAAAAACAATAACTATTTACATTAAATAAGAAAATAAAAAGCTAAAACTTGTTTGTTTGTTTTTTCCCCCTTTTGGGCTTGGTTTTGCCACATGTACAGCGTGGTGAAGGACAATCCTGTGGAGGAGAAGAGATGATGAAAAGAGTTTTCCGGCACTCAATACTACAAAGTAGCATGGTTTGCCACATTAGAGTAAAGCGAGGGAGGGCAGGGGAGGGGAGGGGTGGGGGAGAGGAAGAGGGGTGGGGGAGAAAAGAGGAATAATTCAGGGCTTCATTTCTGGTTTCGGAGCTGATTGGACAACCAGTCCAGTCCTTCATAGAGGCCGTCCCCGCTGGTGGCGCAGGTGGCCTGGATGTACCAGTTTCTGTGGCGGAGAGAATGCAATCCTAGTTTGTCTGTGATTTCCGCGGCATTCATGGCATTCGGCAGGTCCTGGAAAGGGAAGTAACTGGCTTTAGGAAAGGCGGGTTGTTTTTTTTTTTTTAATAAACCCCATCACAAAGAACCGTATTCCACCATCTCAGCTTTTCGTTAAGGCCAAAAAAAAGTCCTCGACTTACGACTATAACTGAGCCCAAACTTTATGTTGCTAAGCGAGACGTGTGTTTAAACGAGTTTCGCTCTGTTTTACGACCTTTCTTGCCAGTTGTTGTTAGTAACGTGGTTAAGCGAATCTGGCTTCCCCACTGACTCTGCTTATCAGAAGACCATGAAAGGTGACCCCGGGACACTGAAACCGTCGTAAGTACAAGTCAGTTGCCAAATGCCTGAATTTTGATTACGTGATCCTGAGGAGGCTGTGACTAACTATGAAAAAATGGATACATCAATTTTTTCAATACCGTTGTAAGTTTGAACACTAAATCAGGGCTTTTCAACCTTTTTACCCATTCTACCACTTTTAGGATATGGCAACATCCAAGTACCACCAGTCGCCTAGCAAGGTGTCAAAACTTGATGACAAAAAAAAAAAAAAAAAACAATTTTTTTTGATAAAGTACAGGTAGTCCTCGACTTACAACAGTTCGCTTAGTGACTGTTCGAAGTTACACTGGCACTGAAAAAAGTGCCCCCCAAGCCACAGCCGAGCAAGACACCTGCCTGCCCACCTGGTGGCGCTCTTCCTCCTGTGTAAGGTTTCCATTGTTGTGAGCATTTCTGTTGAGGATTGGCAGCGGGGGTGGGGTGGGGGGTGTTTGGTTTTTATTCCCCCCCCTGTCTGCTGGGTGGTTGCAGCAGGTTTTGGTCACTTCACATGACCCTGGGACACTGTGACCGTCATAAATATGAATCAGTTGCCAAGCATCTGAATGTAAATCACAAGACCCTGGAGAGGCTGCAACATTCCAGCTGATCGGTGCTTCTTCTAGGCTCAGCAGAAGCACCAGGATCAGTGCTGAGCTCCAGCTGGAGCCTGGGGCTTCCACTGAGCCCTGACAGCCCTGAAGAAGCACTGATCCTGGCGCTTCCGCTGAGCCCTGACAGCCCTGCAGCTCCAGCCGTCTCTCGCTCAGGCTTGTGCGGTGCTGCCATTGGTTCACTCATTCCCCTCCCCCGCTACCCCTTTTCTAGGATGGTCGCGTACCACCTGCCAGGTGCCCATGTACCACAGGTGGTACCCGTACCACTGGTTGAAAAGCCCTGACCTAGTTCTTCTCTTCATTAAACTAGACATTCCTAATTCTGCAAACACGAAGAACGGTTCCTTCGGGGTCATCTATCCCCACATACCTGTTTGTTAGCGAAGACTAAAAGGACAGCGTCTCTGAGCTCATCTTCTGCCAACATTCTCATAAGCTCTTCTCTGGCTTCGTTGACTCGCTCTCGGTCGTTGCTGTCAACCACAAAGATCAAGCCTAAAAGGAAACGGTAGGTGTTAAATAAGAACGTGGCAGGGATGCTAGCGGACGGCCGTCTACAACTGTGTTCCTCAACCATGGCCCCTGTAAGGTATGTGGAGTTAAATCCCCAGATTTGCCTAGATTTTTTTTTGGGGGGGGGGAGAAGAAGGAAAAGGTTGCATGACTTGGATGGTTAGGGAATTCTGGGACTTGACGTCCATGCATCTTCAAGTTGCAGAGAAGCACTGCGCTGCGGTACAGACATTCCTGACATAACTGCCACAACGGAGCTCAACATTCCCACCGCCCCGTTTTATGGCCTTTCTTGCCGTGGTTGTAAAATGAATCACTGCAGTTGTTCAGTGAATCTGACTTGCCCGCTGACTTTGCTTGTCAGGCATTCGCCAAAGGGGGGGGGGTTATGTGACCCTAGGGCACTGCGACCGTCATAAATACGAGTCAGTGGCCAAACATCTCAATTTTCATCATGTGACCGTGTGGATGCTGCGACGGTTGTTAAGTGTGAAAAAAAATTAAGTCACTTTTTTTCAGTGCTGTTGAATCACAAGCTGAGCACCCCCTCTTATAAACTAGGCCTGGACTTCAACTCCCAGAATTCCTCAACCAGAATGCTGGATTGAGAATTCAGAGAGAAAGTCCACACATCTTGAAATAGCCACAATATTTTAGGGTATTTGGTTCAAAATTAACCAATTGGGGGGGGGTTCATTCAGAGGGAAAAAATTGTTATTATATTTTTTTAAATTTAAGTCTTGATAGATATACATACACAGGGAGAGAAACATCCTCCACATTAGGCTTCAAACAATATGAAACTGACTTCTGGTGTTTGTAAATAGTGTCCACAATCAACATGTACCTTAATCCAATTTTCTTTGATTACTGGGTTTCAAAGGTAGTCACACAAGAGAGTAAAAGCAGTAAACTTTGCAAGGGTGTAATTTTACTGTTTCACGTGAACCACACTGCAGAGATAGATCTTCTTAGGCAGCTTTAAAAAAAAAAAACTAACATGCTGTAATATCAGTGTCACGCAAGAGAACTGCAGATTTTGGAAAGCGAATACACTGTACAGAAGGAGAAACTGGATTTTTTTTTAAGACAAAGCTGGAAACTGGACAAAGGGGAAAAGATAAAATGTTGTTAATGAGATGGGAAGTATCCAAACTGGACAAACAAATCAATAGAAAGATTCTGTGTAAGAGGGTTGTGCACAAAGCAATTTAGAACAACGGATTTGTATAAAAACAGTTTCACAATGCAGGAGAAAACAGCACATCCCACCCCTCCTTGTTTGCATTAATCCCACATCACTACTTAATTTTCTATCAGCTACATGCTTGATGTGGTTAACCTGCTGGTAGAGAGATTAAAAGGTCACCCTGAAAGGGGTTGTGTGTGACCACAGGAAAGAGGGGGACAGAGAGACAAAGAAGGAAAGAAGGGAACATAGGAGAGGGAAGGAAGGGACAGAGAAAGAAAGGCAGAGAAAAAGTGGAAGGGAGGGAAAGGGAAACAAAGAAAGAGGGAAGGAGGGAGGGAGGAGAAAGATGAGACAGAGAAACAAAGAAGTGAAGAAGGAAGAGACAAAAAGAGAAGGAAGGAAGGAGAGAGATACAGAGAGAAGAGAGGAAGAAAGAGACGGGAGGAAGAGAGTGAAGATGGGAAGGAAAGAGACAGAATGAAGAGAAGACAGAGGGGGGGGGAAGGAGGAAGAGAGGAACAAAGAGAAGGGAGGGAGGGACAGAGAAAGAAAAGATGTAAGAAAACTACCAATTGGATATATATATATATCTATATATTTTGCATGAACTACCAATTATACACAGATGACAAGCTGAAACACCTCACAAATACTTCTATATAACAGTAACATTGCATTTAATCTTCCATTCTAACACTAAATAAACAAGTCTCTATTTCTTTCTTTGATTCAGCAAAATATGGGTGTTTCATATGTGGAAGAGGTAAACCAGATTAAGCAAAGGCTACCAGTGTGCCAGGCACAAAGGATCATTTAAGATCACGGCAATGGCAGAATCGTGGATTAGTCTTTCCCCCGGTCTGTGGCTCACGTTTTTTTTGGGTTTTATGCTAAAGCATGTATTTTCTTAATCCACATTTATATTTTAACAGGCTAACTGAATCTGGCAGCCACAGAGCCAAAGCCTTTGACCCATTTAATTTGGCAACTTTGGGGATGGAATAGCTGGCTCCAAACAGCAAAGCAGAACTGCAGCGTTCCCATCGCTTTTAAAGCTGGCAAACTGAACAACAGAATAGCAAAGTTGGAAGGGATCTTGGAGGTCTTCTAGGAGACCCTATGCCATTTTAGAAAAATGGCTGTCCAGTCTCTTTTTGAAAGCCTCCAGTGTTGGCGCATTCACCGCTTCTGGAGGCAGGTTGTTCCACTGGTGAATTGTTCCAACTGTCAGGATGTTTCTCCTTAGTTCCAGGTTGCTTCTCTCGTTGGTTAGTTTCCATCTGTTGCTTCTTGTCCTGCCTATTGGTTTTTTGGAAAATAGCTTGACCCCCCCCCCGTCTCTCTAGGTACCCCTCAAATATTGGAAGGCTGCTATCATGTCACCCCTAGTCCTTATCGTTAAACCAGACATACCGAATTCCTGCCACTGTTCTTCATACGTTTTAGCCTCCATCTTTGTTGCTCTTCTCTGCATTCTTTCTAGGGTCTCAGCCTATTTTTTTACATCTGCAGACCTCCTTCCGTTCCAGCTACCGTATTTTCCGGCGTATAAGATGGCTTTCTAAACCATGAAAATCTTCTCAAAAGTCGGGGGTCGTCTTATACGCCCAGTCATCTTATACGCCGGAAAATACGGTACTTTAGCAAAAATACTGATGGGTTAAGGGTCACTAAATAAACTGTTGTAAATCGAGGACTACCTGCATCCTTCATAAGATTTCCATTTGACTCATCCAATTTACAAGATTTCCAGGTGCTGTCGATGCAATTCTGGAGCAATTTAATGCTGATGCAGCTTAAATAGATAGAAAGAGAATGTGGGTCTTGCAAACCGCAAACAACTCACCTTGTGTATTTTGGAAATAATGGCGCCAGAGTGGTCTGATCTTATCCTGTCCGCCAACATCCCACACCGTGAAGCTAATATTCTTGTATTCTACTGTTTCTACATTGAAACCTAGACAGTAATAAGCGGGAGAGAATGTGTTAGTTAACAGGAGGAAGATAGGTTTATCCATTTAAGATGACATCAGTCACATGTGGTCTTCCAACAGCCCTTTCTTCTTGCCAGCCGAAACAATTTTATAAGCAAGAGTCACTATATTATAAGGAAAAAAAAAAACCCTAACCTTTCCTTCCCCATTATATGTTTTACAAAGTGGTATTAAAAAGATGAGCGCCAGTTTGGTGTAATGGTTAAGGCATCAGTGACTCTGAGTTCTTGTCCTGCCTAAGCACAAAGTGACCTGGGTGAGTTTCGGCCAATCACCAGGAGACTGGGAGTTCTAGTCCCGCCTTAGCCATGAAAGCAGGCTGGGTGACTTTGGGCCAATCACCAGGAGACTGGGAGTTCTAGTCCCGCCTTAGCCATGAAAGCAGGCTGGGTGACTTTGGGCCAATCACCAGGAAACTGGGAGTTCTAGTCCCGCCTTAGCCATGAAAGCCGGCTGGGTGACTTTGGGCCAATCATCAGGAGACTGGGAGTTCTAGTCCCGCCTTAGCCATGAAAGCCAGCTGGGTGACCTTTGGCCAGCCTCTCTCTCTTAGCCCTATAAAAGAAACAATGGCAAATCACTAAACTTTTGGCAGATTAGATGACCACACATTAGAACTGACTGGTGTCAGGGTTGTTTTTTTTTTTTTAAATGTTTTAATGGGTTGAGTTTTAAAGTATTAAAATTATTTATACATCTTTTAAGTTTTGACTGGAAACCATCCAGAGTTGTTTGAAAGATGGGTGGCTACATAAACGTTTAAAATAAGTAAATGCATTGACCCACAAGGACCGTGCACGTAGGGCTGCAAGAGGTAAGCTGTGCCACTGATGATGTTTCTATTTCTAGCTCCACTTTTATAGATATATGTAGGGAAAACTCAAGGTAGTTAATATACCCAATGCTCCTTCCTCCTCCATTTTTTCTTACAACAACCTTGTGAGGTGGATTGAGCTGAGGGGGAGAGACTGATCCAAAGTCACCAGCTGGCTTTTATGCCTAAGGCAGGACTAGGACGCAAGTCTCCTACTGATTGACACAAAGCCCAAGGTGCAACTAGAACTCGCTGTCTCCTAGATCCTAGACCAGCACCTTCACTACCACATCAAACTGGCTCTCCGGAAACAGGAAAAGCTTGTTAGCCTTTCTGGTCAAAGAAATGAGTGGCTAGATTTTAAATTTACTATACTTAAAATATGCCATACACGAAGCTAATTATCAACATAATGTTCATACTTTTTATTTAGCTGTTTATCTCCTGAAAGTTTCAAATGCAATTAATTAAATGAAGGCTGTTTAAAGAGTAAATGCTTTTAGATAATATTACATCTGCTGTATTTTCACTCAGGAATCCTCAGACAACCTCAGACTTGCCTTTCAAAAAGTAGGATAGATTTTATCCAACAAGAACAAATGAAGAAAAGATACATAATTTAAAAAAAAAAAAAAAACAGATCTATGCGTGGTAATGATACTGCGAAAACTAAACAGAAAGGTTTTAATAGCATGCTATTTATCTTACAGACTTGAAAACCAATACAGATAGTCTTTGACTTACATTTCATTTAGTGACCATTTGAAGTTACAAAGGCACTGAAGTTACAACCCTGAAAAAAGTGAGTTATGACTATTTTTCACACTTATAGCCATTGTAGCATCTCCGTGGTCATGTGATCAAAATTTGGATGTTTGGCAACTCACTCATATTTATGATGGTTGCAGTCCTGGGGTTATGTGATCCCCTTTTATGGCCAGGCAAAGTCAACGGGAAACAAGATTCACTTAACAAATGCATGACTAACTTAACATGGTTAAGTGATTCACTTAACAAATGAAAGGTCGTAAAATGGGGCAAAACCCATTTAACAAATGTCTCACTTAGCAACAGAAATTTTGGGCATAAGTCAAGGATTACCTGCATGTAGTATGTCCACAAGCAGTTTCCTTTAGTTCAAGGAATTCCAAAAATGCAGCTCAGATCTTGAACTGAGTTAACTGAAGTAGCACCATATTGGTTACTACTCCTGAGCAGCCTGTGTGCAGGCTAATTTTGCATTTTTACCCAGAGTTGTGATATTGTGCAAATTTTATTTTAATTTTACTTTAAACCCAGATTTAGTTGCAATTAAGAGATTGCTTGCTTTCTTACCTATTGTAGGGATGGTAGTTACTATTTCACCGAGTTTAAGCTTGTACAATATAGTAGTTTTTCCTGCAGCATCCAGTCCGACCATAAGAATACGCATTTCTTTTTTGCCGAAGAGGCCTTTGAAAAGGTTGGCAAAAATATTTCCCATGTTTCAGGATACTGTTCACCCACTGGCCAAGAAAATCTAGAAGACGGAAGGATTCGAGACTATTAGCGGCAGTTAAATGTCATGAGGCTACGGTAGCACAGCCCCCAAAGTATACATTAATGGCCCTCGTGAACCGAGGGAGATTTATTTATCAGGTAAACATTCGGTACACTCAAGTAAACATTCTACTTACAACCATTCAGTTAGTGACCATTCAAAGTTACAACGGCACTGAAAAAAGCAACTTATGACTGTTTTTCACACTTATGACTACTGTAGCATCCTCAGGGTCACATGATCAAAATTTGGATGTTTGGCATGTACTTACGACAGCCGCAGTGTCCCGGGCTCATGAGATCCCCTTTTGCAACCTTCTGACAAGCGAAGTCAATGGGGAAGCCAGATTTATTTAACAACCCTGTTACTAACTTAACAATTGCAGTTATTCACTTAACAACAAAGGTAAAATGGGGCAAAACTCATTTAACTATCTCGCTTGCCAATGGGAAGTTTGGGGGCAATTGTGGTCGTATGTCGAGGACTGGATGTAGTCAGTTTGTGAAAACAGACTTTCAAAACCCAAGCTGAGCATGCAAACAGCAGCTTAAAGGCAGTTATTTATGCAGATTAAATTGCCACGTATAAACAAAGACAGCAACGGGTATTTCCATAATAGGATAAAAATGTTTTAGTGGGGGAAGAGGCAGTTTGCTCAAATATACAGTTATTGTAACAAGATTACATGTTCTGTGAAACTACAATAAAATGATCAAAATACATAAAGGATGTTGAAAGATATGTGTGTGGGAACGATGTTACTCCTAAAAGACAAAACAGGTTACTTGACTATGTTTATTTATAAATATATCTATAAACATAAGGGAGGGAGGGCTTCAACACAGAAACAGGAGCACAAAATTTCAAGATTAAATGCATTTTTCCCTCTTCCCCAAATGAGAAAAAAGAATAGCTAGGACAAACCACCGATTGTGGCATAATGCTATTCAACACTAATCATATTTAATTAGAACAAGCTATGCCAGGAATATTGTTAACAGTAGAATGAACCAGATAACTACATGAAATTTTCCTTAATGAAAATAATCTCTTTTGTACTATGCATGCATTTTCCAAAACTCTCTGAAACGGAGGAGTTGGCAGAATCCAGTTTGACCAGCACGATTCTCTCAAAGAAGGCTGTTCACAATTCTAGAATCCAGGCATCATCAGATGCCGAGCCAACAATGCTCCTGGCATTCTTAGGACATCCTAATAACTGAGTTATAGTTAACCAGTTTCTACTCTGTCAAACTTGGCAGAGAGAAAGGCAGCCAGTTCCTCAGAGAAGTCAATTACTGTAGTTTTAATACAGGTAATTCTTGGCTTACGACCACAAGGGAGGCCATGATTTCTGTTGCTAAATGAGACAATTGTTAAGTGAATTTTTCGCCTCACTTTACAACCTTTCTTGGCACAGTTCTTAAATGAATCACTTTAGTTAGGTTAGTAACCTGGCTTCCCCATTAACTTAGCTTGTCAGAAAGTCGCAAAAGGGAACTGCACGACTCTGGAACACTGCGACCGTCATAAATATGAGTCAATTGCCGAGCGTCTGAATTTTGATTATGTGACCATGGGACTGTTGCAACGATCTTAAGTGTGAAAAATAGTCACAGTTCACTTTTCTCAGTGCTGTTGTAACTTCAGTCATTAAACGAATGGCTGTAAAGCAGGGCTTTTCAACCAGTGGTACGGGTACCCCCTGTGGTACATTGGCACCTGGCAGGTGGTACGCGACCATCCTAGAAAAGGCGTAGCAGGGGAGGGGAATGAGCTGAACCGGTGGCAGCACCGCACAAGCCTGAGATGGCTGGAGCTGCAGGGCTGTCAGGGCTCGCGGAAGCACCAGGATCAGTGCCAGGCTCCAGCTGATCAGCGCTTCTTCGGGGCTGTCGGCTCAGTGGAAGCGTCAGGGTCAGCACTGAGCTCCAGTGGAGTTCTGCGCTGATCCTGGTGCTTCTGCTGAGCCCAGAAGAAGCGCCAATAAAGTGGCACTGATCCTGGCGCTTCTGCTGAGCCCTGAAGAAACACCGATAAAGCGGCACTGATCCTGGCGCTTCTGCTGAGCCCAGAAGAAGAGCCGATCAGCTGGAATGTTGCAGCCTCTCCAGGGTCTTGTGATTTACATTCAGATGCTTGGCAACGGATTCATATTTATGACGGTCACAGTGTCCCAGGGTCATGTGAAGTGACCAAAACCTGCTGCAACCACCCAGCAGACAGGGGGGGGAATAAAAACCAAACACCCCCCACCCCACCCCCGCTGCCAATCCTCAACAGAAATGCTCACAACAATGAAAACCTTACACAGGAGGAAGAGCGCCACCAGGTGGGCAGGCAGGTGTCTTGCTCGGCTGTGGCTTGGGGGGCACTTTTTTCAGTGCCATTGTAACTTCTATGAGTCACTAAGCAAACTGTTGCAAGTCGAGGACTACCTGTACTTTATGGATGTTGCCATATCCTAAAAGTGCTACAATGGGTGAAAAGGTTGAAAAGTTGTGCTCTAAGGCAAGGACTGCCTGTGTAACATTTATTTTTATTTCATTTATTAAATTTATATGCTGCCCATCTTGTGGTTTGAAACTAACAGCACATGACAACATTTGTGCGCTCTTTCCAACTTTTAGAAGGGCAATGAAATATTAGAAAGATGATCTGAGAACACAAATCGCGACTACCTGGGAACAGGTATGGCAGAAGGTAAATCGGTATTTTATTCACAAAGAAAGATACTAACTATCAAAAAAACATTTTCACCTGAGCTGTGAAGAGCAATTCCCTAGTGTTTATAACTGGGCAGCTGCAATATTTAGCCTGAATAATCTTCACAAGCACCGTATTTATGCTATTATAAATTAATTAGGTCTACAGAAATATATTTAACTCAGTACTTAGCGTGCCCTGTCATTACAGCGTTAATTTCCAAGGGAGTCATCTGGGGAACAACTTCTGAACAAGACGTAAGCGCTTCCCTGCTATAACACAGCTTGCAATTTCCTTCCCTTCTCTGCCAGACCACCCTGAGCTGGGGCGCTGCAGAGGGGGGAAAAATACACTTCCTTTTTGGGTGGAGCTCAATTTAACCTCTACTTCCAGAATCTGGCTCCACAGCACAGCAGACCTTTCCCCTCAGTGTTCTTTCGAAACCCATCAGGGACCCCTTCCACAACGCCCATCCTCCAGGACTAAGCAGATGTCTCAAACTCTCTTGTCGATGCTTTTCTTGCAGACGTTTCAGTACCCCAGCTAGGAAACATGGCCAGTGCTAGAAGCTAGAACCCCACTCCCTTCTAGCACTGATGATGCTACCTAAAGGGGTAATGAAATGTCTGCTAGGAAACCACCAAGCTCAGAGAGCATTAAGGACCCCACAGTCTTCCTCCTCCTCCTCTCCACAAACCCCCCTCCCTTCTAGCACTGACAATGTTCCCAGGTTGGGTCACAAAATGTCTGCAAGGAAACCACCCAGCTCAGAGAGCACAGAGGATCACATTATTCTACTCTTTTTCTCTTCTACAGCTCTGGCTCCTGAGCTCCATGCTGTTGCAGACCCTCACACAGTCCAGCTGGGATAAGCCATGTTTTCAGGATATAAAACAATTTATTAAATTTTACTCAGCAAGCATGCACTGCCTTGGATTTTATTTGCCAATCATAAAGCCTTGAAAACCTTGTCCACTAGTTAGTGGGTAGCCGGTGTAGTAGTTTATTGCTCAGAATCAAGGCAGTCAGGTGCTCAACCCAGCCATCAGCTGGCACATTCTGGACCAATTTTGACTCTGCGATCAATATCCCATGCTATACTTCACAGGCTGAATTGCACTTTCATAGAGATTGTTCTGTGTTAATTGAGCTACTCAGACAAAACCACTACAGCCTACTCAATTCCTGAGATGGCAGAAAACATATTTTCAGATGGCCATAGAGCAGGGGTCTTTAAACCTGGCCCTTTTATGACTTGTGGACTTCAACTCAGCCAGCATCGTATTAAAAACCTGGGTGTGGGTTTTTGTTTTTTTCCCCCCACTCCTGCAATTAATAGAATACAGATCGGTGTGGGTGTTAAGAGAAAGAATCAGTGTTCTTTCCTATCCAGACCTTGTACGAAAATATCACTGATAGGTGGAGGTATGAAAGTGTAGCAAAGGAAAGAGAAGGGTCAATGGAAATAAGGACTCAGTTGCACACAAACATTTTCTCAGCTGAAAGTAGCCTTACATTCGGAACAGGGAGAGATTTAATTCAGCCAATGGAAGAAGCCTTCATTTCAGAGCCAGAACATCTGCGGGGGGAAAAAAGCCAATTTTCTTGCCAGTCCTTCACTCATTTGTCTTGGCAACTGCAGGTAGTCCTTGACTTAACAGCCATTCATTTAGTGATTGTTCAAACAGTACTGGGAAAAGCGACAAACCGTTTTTCACACGACCGGTGCAGCGTCCCCATAGTCACGTGATCAAACTTCAATCGCTTGGCAACAGACTCATATTGATGACGGTCGCCGTGTCCCGGGGTCATAAGATCCCCTTTTGCAACCTTCTGACCAGCAAAGTCAATGGGGGAAGCCAGATCCATTTAACAACCGTGTGACTAACTTTGCAATTTCAGTAATTCACTTAACTAGCAAGGTCATAAAATGGGGAAATGCCCATTCAAGAATGTCTTGCTTAGCAACAGAAATTTTGGGCTCGATTCTGGTCCTAAGGCGGGGACTACTTGTAATTCCATTTGTGGAGCACAGCATTTGCTTTTCTAACTGGGGAGGTTGAGTGGTTTTGAGCTTCCAGTTCGAAAGTTCCCCCACCCAAGTATTCCTTACCGGATAATATAGGAAGAGGAACAAACCATGGAGGACTAAAACATGGCGTGGAACCGCTTGCCTCCTGGAATTGTGGGTGCTTCATTTCAAGAAAGGATTAGACAACCATGTGCCTGAGATGGCACGAGAACTCCGGATTGGGCTGGACTACATGATCTCGAAGTCCCTTCTGACCCTATGATTCTTAGACTACTTTTATCTTCATGACCAGTTTAGTATCTAGCTCTAAATTAGTCCTCAACATGATGCAATACTATGATAGCTAACCCTTTAGTACTGCATTTGTATTCCGATACAGGGAGTCCTCGACTTAACAACAGTTTGTTTAGTGACTGCTCAGTGATAACAACACTGGAAAAAGTGACTTATTATCATGTTTCACTTAAGGCTGTTGCAGCATCTCCATGGCAACATAAATCAAAATTCAGATGCTTGTTCAACTGGCTTATGATGAAGGGGGAAGCCAGATTCACTTAACTGTGTTACTAAGTTAACCGCAATGATGCACTTAACAAACGTGACAAGACAGGTCATAAAATGGGGCAAAACCTACTTAACAAATGTCTCAGCAGCATAATTTTTGGGTTCAATTGTGATTGTAAGTTGAGGACTACACGTACAGTACAGATTGCTAGATTTAGCCAAATATTGTGAAGTTTTTTTTTACTATTTGCAATGATACATTGATATCATGCGAGATGAATATTCTGCAGTATTTGCAGAAAGCAAATTCCCTTTTTTATATCTGTGCCTATAATAAAATCTAGTAAGAGGGTCCTAGATAAGCAAAGGGCGCACACAATACTGCTTTACATAAATATTTTTTCCAGTTTCAAATTACTATATTAAACTGCATTACTCATTACTTAGCTCAGCACGTGCAATCTTTTTTTTACACAGTAGAACAATTAAAAATTAGAGGAAAAGAAAATAGCAACATGTTATTTATTTAATTTGTATAGCCACCAGTCTCCCAAAGTGACTCTGGGAACTATACAAATAATATAAAAATACTGGTAAAACAATCATTAAAATTAAAATATTAAAAATTGAACCACAAAGTTTTAGAGTCAGTGTATCAACCGCAATATATCAATGAAGATACCATGGATAGTAAAAGGCAAATGAAAACAGCAGTAAAGTGGCATTTCCTAGTTCTCCAAAGAGCTACTTAGAAATAAGAATTAAAACTAGGTTTTTAGCACTCAGCAAGAAAACTGATGAATAATCCAAAAAGTAACTGTTATAATCGGAACTGCCTACCAGCTATAAAAAGGGCTGGAATAGAAGTTGCGCTTACATTTTCAATTTGTTCCAGGTGAGATTCATGAAAATCTAATTATACATTCATATTTTATCAGTAGCCTAAGACACATAAGCGTCCCTGTGAAAGTTTGTTAATATAGTACTGATTTTTTCCCCCCTGCAAAATCTAGCTAAGGCTTTTTTACATGATTTTCCACTTATGCACTGATGTTGAACTGGACAATGCAACTCATAAATATGTACTTCTAATACATACTAAACGCTTCAAATTTTAAGGTAAGGCAGTGATTTGCATAAGTTCTCATGTCACATAGATCTGCAACTGTCTTTCTTAAGCTCAAAGGTCTGCCATATCACTTGAGAAAAGGGACACATTTGGCTTTAAAAATCGCAGTGCGTGTCACGTGGATGCTTCCGTATGCTCAGAAGCACCTTTTTGTCTTTTAATCAGACCTGCTGGGAAGCCATAAAATATAGATCTGCAAAATTAACCAAGCAAAGGTTCCCATGCAATCAGGAAAAAAGGTGTAGCTGCTTTAACACGTTATCAATGGATGCTACATTGAAGTTGTGACTTCCAAGTATCTCTTCCAAACACAATTTGAAGCAGTGTGCAGCCCTCACCATTAATCTGAAATGTTAAAAATAGCCTTCAGTCTTTTATTTTTAAATTGAAAATGGAAATACATTAAATTCCAGAAATCTGAGGCTGTTCATCTCAATAAGCAGCAGCAGAAGAGATTTTTAATACTTAGGCCAGGGGTAGGCCACCTTGGCTCTTTTATGACTGGTGGACTTCAATTCCCAGAATTCCTGAGCCAGCCATGCTGAGGGGAAAGGGAGAGGTTTCCAAGCTGAGCCATGCTGCCTCAGGAATTCTGAGAGTTGAAGTCCACGAATCATAAAGCGGCCAGGTCTAGGGCAGAGATAGGTCACCTTGGCCCTTTTATGACTCATGGACTTCAACTCCCAGAATTCCTGAGCCAGCCACGCTGAGGGGAAAGGGAGAGGTTTCCAAGCTGAGCCATGCTGGCTCAGGAATTCTGGGAGCTGAAGTCCACCAGTCATAAAAGAGCCAAGGTGGCCTACCCCTGGACTAGGCAGAGTGATATGGAAAACTGGCTGACCAAGATAGTGAAGTACAGGTAGTCCTCAACTTACGACCACAGTTGTTAAGTGAATCACTGCAGTTAACTTTGTCACACGGTTGTTAAGTGAATCTGGCTTCCCATTAACTTTGCTTGTCAGAAGGTCGCAAAAGGGGATCGTATGATGTCAGGACAATGCAACCATCATAAATACGAGTCAGTTGCACAGTGTCCGAATTTTGAGTCACGTGACTATGGGTACGCTGCAAGGGTTTTAAGTGTGAGAAATGATAACTCACTTTTTTCCAGTGGTGGTTGTAACTTTGAAAGGTCACTAAATGAAGTCAAGGACTACCTGTATTAAAGCAACACATTAAATACGTTCAGCCGGAAACAAAGAGGCAACGCTAATATTTGTATAAAAACAGGTATAACAAGTTCCACCTGCTTGGCTCCCCCCACCCCCCCACCAGGAAATTCTGCTGCCATGTACAGTACAAAGCAAAGCTTCCAGGGCACCTTTAAAGACAGCACCACACAAGAGTGTGTGACGATGTCCTAACCTTGAGGTTTCCTTCTTTCAGCTGTGATGCAGCTTGCTGTTTGCTTGCCCTTGATTCAAGGGGTAACAGTCACCAGATTTAATTCAATCTTAAGTCAGCTGGAGGGGTCCAGAAGAATCTGCTCTGCTGTGACTTCTACCCTCTGGAATATTGTGCCTCTTGAGATAAGATTCGCACCCACCCCCTTGGTCTTGGCAGTCCTTGACTTAGGACAACTATTGAGCCCAAAATTCCTGTTGCTGCGTGGGTTCTGCCCGCTTCACGACCTTTCTTGACACAGCCGTTTAAGTGGATCGCTGCAGTTGTTAATTTGGGAACATGGTTGTCAAACGAATCTTGCCTCTTGTTGATTTTGCTTGCTGGAAGTTCGCAAAGGGGATCACATCAATCTGGGATGCTGCAACCGTCATAAATATGAAGCAGTTGCCTAGTGGCTGAATTTGTTCATGTGACTACGGGGTCGTAAGTGTGAAAAGGAGTCACACTTCCAATGCGGTTAACATCTGAGGACTATCTTACTCCAGGAAGACAGAAGACCTTGTTCTGTCTCTCAAAAGCAGAAAAGTATTTTAAGCTTGGAACAGGGATGGACAGGGTGGTTTTGATTTAAATGATAATTTTTAAAGAGCAGCTGTCATCCCTGTCTCGCAGCATCTCCTCCTCTGACAGGCTGCTGACTCACTGACAGTCCCACTCCCTTGAATGGGACGGATGGTGATGCGGCACTGACACCACAAGGTGAGGGACGTGACAGGAGCAAGTGAGTGGGTGCCCGCTAACAGGCGCTGCCAGGATGGATCTGAAATGACAGGTGCTCTTTAAATGTAAGGACTCATTCTTGCTGGTAGTTAGAATCTTTAATGTTATTATTTGCAAACAAAATGAAGGTTTCCCATTTAGAATAAGAAGCTGTCAGGTCAGTAAAACAGTGATAACAGAACTGATTTTAGGCTAATCACACATAGTTGGAGAACTACTCAAATTCTTTTATTTACCTAAAACACTTACGAGCCTGGTACAGAGGCATTTCTCTTCAAACAATCATACAGTTTGTAGTGTGCATAGATTTGCAAAACAATGGGATAAAGGAATATTCCTGAACTTTGTTTTACGACTTATCTCGTGGTTACTGTGAAACTGTGCGAATGCATCAAGGCAGTGCATGTTATCTCAGTTTGCAGAGCTTGGATTCACTGAAGGAGTTTACCAAATATGTAAATATTTCAGATTATAAAGCCTCATGCGACATAACTAAGCTCCATTTCATGCTGAACAAACTAAATTATTAATGTATCTTAAATAGAAAACTATATTTTTTTACTCCAAAAGCATTTTATTAAGATAAATTTGATAAAAATAAAAAAAAATCCGATTTAATTTTTTAAAAAATCCATTTTTTAAAAAAAAAAATCTATTAATATTCCCCCTGGGGATGGATGAAAACTAAACACTGCTCAGACAGTTCAGAGTTGAAAGGAGTAGGTATAGCTAACAGATCCAACTTAGGTGTAATAGGCTGTCCAGATTCAAAGCACCCAAAATTTTGCAACCTGCTTAAAGCTAGCAGCATGAAAAGGAGATACAAATAGTCCTTGACTTACAACAATTCATTGAGTGACTTTTCGAAGTGACGACACTGAAAAAAGTGACTTATGACCGTTTTTCACACTTACGACCGTTTGCAGCATCCCCATGGTCCGGCGGTCAAAATTCGGATGCTTGGCCACTGTCTCGTATTTATGACAGTTGCAGTGTCCCTGGGTCAAGCGCTCCCTTTAGCGACTTTCTGGCAACGGGGAAGCCAGATTCATTTAACACCTTAACAGCAATGATTCACTTAACAACTGTGGCACGAAAGGTCATAAAGTGGGGAAAAACTCTTTAACTGTCTCAATTGGCAATGGAAATTTTGGGCTCAACTGTAATCATACAGGGATGGCTATCTGTGCAAGGACTTGCTTTTATAACCTGGAGCTATCCTCCTATTTAAAGATAATAATTTAACCCCTTTGTATTGCAGGGCTGAAGAACCTCTTCCTCCCTGATGAAGTTGCCCATTGCAGCTAATGCATTAGGGCAGTGTTTCTCAACCTTGGCAACTTGAAGAGTTGTGCTGGCTGGGGAATTCTGGGAGTTGAAGTCCATACCTCTTCAAGTTGCCAAGGTTGAGAAACACTGCATTAGGGCAACTGTGAAATGATGCCAGCCAGGATAATAGGACGGCTCATGGTTTGCTAATTTAATTTCAAAGGAAGATATAAATGCCGTATGAATATGGAGATTGCGAAAAAAATGTCAGCCGTAGCTGCATTAACATAATTATTTCCCAAGTCTGTTCCAGACAATTACACACTAAATCCTCGAACATATCAGACCAAGCAGTTCAACCCAGACTGTATGTTAGCCACTATCATGGGAACATTTCACAAGATGCCTCTACCAGGCATCTGGTCGGAAGCAATTAAGAAAAGGAAATGCAAAAAAGAAATGCTCCTCAAATATTTTGATTTTCACCGTAGCTGAAATTTGTAGGAGATGCAATCCAAATGACCTGCAAAGTGCCAAAAGGCATACCCCGAATTTATTACAGGTAGTCTTCAACTTACAACCACAATTGAGCCCAAATTTTCTGTTGCTAAGCATGACAGCTGTTAAGTGAGCTTTGCCCTGTGTTATCTTTCTTACCACAGTTGTTACGCTATAACACAGTTAAGTGAATCTGGCTTCCCCCATTGACTTTGTCTGTCAGAAGATCACAAATGGGGATCATGACACCCAGGGACATTGCAATTGTCATAAAGGCCAGTTGCTAAGTGTCCCAATTTTGATCACGTGACCATAGAGATGCTGCAGTGGTTGTTAAGTGTGAAAAACAATCACGTTACTTTTTCCAGTGCCCTTGTAACTTTGGTCACTAAAACGAACTGTTATTAAGTCAAGGATTATCGGTATAGTGGTAGTATAATGCAGGTACTCATTGACTGACAAGTATTTGTTTAGCAACCGTTCTAAGTTATGGCACTGAAAAGTCACTCATGATTGGTCCTCCCACATATGATTGTTGCAGCATCCCCATGGTCATGTGATCAAGATTTGGGTGATTGGCAACCAGCATTTATTCACAACAGTTGCATCATGTGGCCTTCCCAACTGGCCTCTGACAAGCAAAATCAATTGGGAATTGGCAGATTTGCTTAACAACCGTGTGACTTAACAATCATAGCAAAAGAGATCATAAAATCAGGCACAACTCAGTTCCATTACCTTGTTTGGTGATGGAAACCCTGGTTCCAATTGTGATCAGGTATTTCTCATTTATGATTGGCAGTAAATTATATTGATATGTGCCTGCCCTACATACCTTCTTTAAGGACAGCTACACAAATCAGATTGCCAGCTTTGTAAAAGAAATCCCCAAATGTTTCAAAAGTGTAGATGATGACAAAGACCATATAGAGTAGCAAGAACTTTGTGGAGGACAGTAACTTCCCAAAAGTTCTGATGAATGAACGAACAAGGAAAAGTCTATGCTGGAAGGAGGGGGAAAGTGAAGTTCAGCAACTGAGATATTTGTCCTTGGATCTACATTAGTTGCTGCCTCTTGTTTACAGCTCTCCCATGTCACAGAGATAAAGATGAAAACTTTAAGTTAGCCAAAAATTTAAGATAGACTGGTGAACTAGGTTGTGGAAATACAAATAAGCTAATAATCAGAAAATACTAGAATTCACTAAAAAAAATAGCAATGCTATCCCCTTGACATTGTTTTTATTGCAAGACCTGATTCTAAAATACAAAAATTAATGTTTAAAAGCAATTGCCCTCTCATTATCCCAAGTATTTACGAGGGACATGTCATTACCAGGTATTGGCAACATGAAAGGCTATTTAGCATATTTCCTAAAAAAGAAAAAAAAGAAAAATCAAATTAACTAAAGAGGACTTTCTCCAGTGGAGTGCATCTGGCAGAAAATTAGCAACAAATTATGTCATGCTGAGATGGTTTTGATGCCCAGAATTATACTGTACTGTAATTGCCTGTGTGGAAAAGCTAGAGATCATTCAATTCACAACCCTGGAAATGGGAATGGCCAGAAGCATCATAAACCTGGAAGGGATCTTGGAGGTCATCTAGTTCAACCCTTTGCTCAAGGCATTGCCATTGTTGTCAAATGGCTGTCCAATCTTTTCTTGAAAATCTCCAGAGATGGAACACCCACAACTCTGGGAGGAAAGCTGTTCCACTGCTTCATAATCCTCACTGTCAGGGAATTCCTTATTTCTAGGTTGTATTTCCCTCTGACCAGCTTCCACTCCTTTCTTTCTCCCTCCTTTCTTTCCCTTGCCCCTCTTTCTCTCTCCTTTTGTCTTCCTTTCTTTCTTAGTTCCATCCTTCCCTTTCTCCTAACTTCCTACATTTTTCTTTCCTTCCCTCACCTCTTTCTCCTTCCTTCCTCGCTCCCTCCCCATTTCATGGCTCAGTTTGCCTAGCAAGCTTAAGGAAGACATAGAAAGACCCAGCTAAGACCCTGTGGCTAATTGTGATTAGTATTTCTGTCATGGCTGGGAGGGAGGTCATCTAGCCCAGCCTCCTGCCCAAGGCCTGGCATCCTTACACCACCCTGGCTAAATGGATTAAAACTCTTGTCCTGGCCTGTCAACCCAGACCTTTTGAGTCGGATTTCCTCAACTAATAAAGAGGAAGAGAGTCTTCACCACCACCACCAGAATGTACTTGAGACTCCCTGCCCTTGCGCAACTGTTTGTCCTGCCAATGAAGTCACCAGCAAGTGACTAAGGGATCCCAAATCCCCACCCATCCCTCGTCTTTGGGGCCAAATTCCAGATGAGGAAAGAAAAAAGACCACTCCCAAACAACCCCATCGCCCTCCCCCAAACCCCATCGCCCTCCCCAAACAACCCCATTATCCTCCCACAAATTCTACCATTCTCCCCAAACCCCATCATCCTCCCCAAACCCTATCATCCACCCCAAACCCCACCATACCCCCCCAAATTCTTTCATCCTCCTCCCCAAACCCCATCCTCCACCCTCGGGGGCCACCCTGCATCCTCCCCCGTTTATGGGTATTACTCAGACAGGCCAAAGACCGGGGGTGACTCCCCTCCTCCCCGGCCTGCCCAACCGTCCCAGGCCCGAGGCCTACGAGGAACGGATCCCGCGCAATGGCCGCCTTCTCGCTTTCTGTCTAGTCTCCTTTTCGTGGGGAGGGGATGAGGGGAATGGGGGTACCCCGCTGCACCCCCGCTTATGAGGGCGGCATCGGGGAAGGTTAAAGGAAGGCGGGAAGAGGAAAAGAGCCCCACAGCTCGGCCGGGAGATCAGCGGGCGTCGGGGTGGAGGCTGCCCCGCCCGGCCGCGAGCTAGGCCCGGCCGCTTCAGCGCGGACCGTTGGCGAAGGAAGGGTCGGTTCGGACCAGGCCGGGCCGCCGCTGAAACTTCGTGAGGGCTCGGCTGCTTACCGGGCGACGTTGCGGGGTGCCTGGCTGCGGGGTCTCCGTCGTCGTCCTCTCCGGGCCCGCCGGGTGCCTCGTCTACTTCTGGCCTTCGCCTTCCGCCTCCCTCACAGCCTCCCTTACTGCGCACAAGATGGCGGCTCCCGGCGGCCACGTCAGTGCCAAGGGCCCCGCAAAGCACGACGGGAAACGCGGGCTGGGTTGGGCGTCTTTTTTTTTTTTTTTAATATCCCTCCTTTCCCCGCCCCTCTTGCTCTCTCTCTCTCTCTCTCTCTTTCCCTGAAAGGGGGAGGCAGACCAGGGACGGGAAGGCGTGGCCAAGTCTCGCGGAGGACGAGGAGCATGCGCACTCCCCTTCCTCGTCTCGCGCGCCCCTTGCCGACCGTTGGAAAGCGGCAGGGGGAGAAGCCGCGTGCCCCTTTTCAAAAGGGGAGGGGGGGAAAGGGGGAGCGCGCGCCTTGTAAAAAGGGGCGGGGCCCGTTGCGGCCGCGTTTCGGTTTCCGCGGAGGGGGGAGGGGCAGGAGGGGAGCGCTTCGTTCTACCTCAGCAGCGGGGGGCGGCGCCTTTGGGGACGACAAAGCCCATCATCCCCATCCCCCGAGTGTCCTCTTCCCTCCCCCAATTTGGGATGAGAACTGAGGTTCTCTGAGCAGACAAGGGCTTAGTTTTGTGGTTAGGGTTGTTGGTCGTTTTTTAGGGAGTCCTGGAACTTCTGTTGCTAAATGAGACAGTTGTTCAACGAGTTGCAGCGAGTTCGGCAACTTACCATGGCCGTTAAGTGAATCTCACAGTGACGAAGCAAATCTGGCTCCCCAAGTTGGCTGTGCCACGGGTGGTCGTAAGTGTGAGGACCAGTTGTAAATGACTATTTTTCAGCGCTGCCGTAACTTCCTTAAACAAATGGTCATAAAGTCGAGGATGCTTGGGGTAGAGAAGGGAAGTGGGAAAGTTGGCCTGGGAATAGAAGGCTCTGTATTTGGGACCATCTCCTCCTTTCCTAGGACTTTATAAGCTGCAGGCAGCAGTTCAACCAGTACTGTTTATGATCTGCTTATTATATGGCTACGAGAGCTAATTAGGCAGCCAATTTAGCGTGCCAGAGGTAGTCCTCGACTTACAAATACAATTGAGCCTCAAATTTCCAGACACTAAATGAATGGTCTTCAAACTTGGCAACTTTAAGACTTGTGGACTTCAACTCCCAGAATTCCTCAGCCAGGCACGCGTGCCTGGCTGAAGAATTCTGGGAGTTGAAGTCCTCAAGTCATAAAAGGGCCAAGTTTGAAGACCCCTGCACTAAATGAATGGTTGTAACTGGAGGACTGACTGTAGACGTATTACAGATTAGAATAAGTTAGAGTAAAACCTCCCTCTGAGTCCCCTGTGTTTCCTTACATGCAGCGCTCCAGATCTTAATATCCAGTAGATGTATTTAGTCTCATTTCCCACAATTCCCCCTTGCGGATAGACTGAAGATTATGGTATTTGATGTCCGCAATCTAAGAAGAGGACGGACTGCAACCAAAGAGAAATTCATGATTTTCATTGGATCCTGATGGTTCAAGAGGCCAAAAACATCAAGATGGTGGCCTCAACCTTACAACTGAAGCCCCATCCTATTTAAACACAGTCCTCGTCTTATGACCACAATGGAGCCCAATGTTTCCATTGTTAAGCAAGAATTAAGTGAGCTTTGCCCCATTTTATGACCTTCCTTGCCACATTTGTTAAGTGAATCACTGCAGTTGTTAAGTTAGTAACATGGTTGTTAAGTGAATGGCTTTCCCGTTGACTTTGCTTGTCAGAAGGTCACAAAAGGGAAACACATGTTCAAGGACAGTGAAAGCGTCATAAATATGAGTCAGTTGCCAAGTATCTGAATGTTGATCATGTGACCAATGGGGATGTCGCAATGGTCATAAGTGTGAAATATAGTCATTTTTTTCAGTGCCATTGTAACTTAATGGTCACTAAATGAGCTGTTGAAAGTTGAGGACAACCTGTAGTTTAGGCATCACCTGGGTGATTTTAGGCCAGCCACTTTCTCTCAGCCCCTAGGAGGAGGCAATGGCAAACCACTTCTGAAAAACTTTGCCAAGAAAACTGCTTCTCCAGGCAGTCTCCGAGAATTGGCAGGTGATTGAACAGAAGAAAAAAAATTAAAGAGGTATGTAGCCTTTTCAGAAAGAAGAAGATAAACATAATTTTAAAAGCAGAAGTATGCCAGGAAAATGAAGGAACAAGGCCAGAACGAAGTCTTTGGAAACAAAAAGTCTTTTTAATCTTCCGTATAATCTTTTTTTCCCCTTTCCTTTTCCTATTTTCTCATTTATTTGTTCCCAATGCTTAATTGTTTTGTTGTTTGTTTTCTAATACCCCTAGTCCTCGACTTATGACTACAGTTGAGTCCAAAATTTCTCTGGCTAAGCAAGACGGGGATAAAGTCAATTTTACTCCATTTAATGACCTTCTCTGCCCCTGTGGTTAAATGAACCATTGCAGTTAGTTATTAAAGTTAGTTAACACGGTTGTTAAGCGAATCTGGCTTCCTCATTGACTTTGCTTGTCAGAAGGTTGCAAAAGGAGATCACAGGACCCCGGGACACTGTGACCGTCATAAATACGAGTCAGTTGCCAAGTGTCTGAATTTTGATCACGTGACCATGAGGGAATGTTGCAATGGTCATAACTAAAAAATGATCATAAGTCCCTTTTGTACTGTTGTGACTTTAAATGGTCATTAAAAAATGGTTGTAAATCAAGTACAACCTTTATCTGCATTTTTAATGTGCTTCCAAAGATTTCCATGCTGTTACTTTTAAGAGCAAACATGAACATAAAATGCTGCACTAAGTAGTCCTCGACTTACAACATTTTGTTTAGTGACCATTCAAAATTGCAACAGCACTGAAAGTGGCTTATGATCATTTTTCACATGTATGAGCCTTGCATCATCCCCATGGTCATATGATCAAAATTTGGAAGTTTGGCAACTGTTTCATACTTACGACAATTGCAGTGTGATCCCCTTTTGCGATCTTCTGGCAAGCAACATCAGTTGGGAAGCCAGATTTACTTCACAATCTTGTTACTAACTTTAACAACTGCAAGGATTCACTTAACAACTGTGACAAGAAAGATTATAAAATGGGGCAAAATTCACTTAGCAATAAAAATTTGGGGTTCAGTTGTGGTTTTAAGTCAAGGACTAACTGTATATATGTGAAAAGTTCAGCTTTCTCTCCCCGGAGAGAACATTTGCAAGAGGAAGTTCCAAGACCAGCATTTTTAGAAGATTCATAGGGGGGGGGGAGATAGGATCCAATTGTTCAATTTATTAAATGCAATAGTGTTTTTTTGGGGTTTTTTGGCTATATAATTTACTCCAGGTTCCCTGCTCTGGGCTTTCAATTATTTTAAATCACATTTTGAAAAAGTAAAGAATAAATGCTGGCAGAGTATATGCAAAAACTCATTTTGACACCATGGAAACAATGCTCAAATTGCACATTAAGGTTTCTGTGTCTCCAAATCAAGCATATCATTTATTATACAAAGTGTATCCCCAGTTAAATTGGAGTGATGGCTAAGGAAGCAGTCTATTTTGGAGCCTGAAAAAAAAATGAATACATCTCTGTTAGAAAGTATAATTTAGATAGCTTCCATATTTATGGGATTCATTTTATCTTCTTACTCTTGATAACTGAGACTCTTTCTTAAAACCATTAATCCCATCTAATATTTAAGGTTTCCCTCGTATCTCAATTTATGCAAAGGGCCCGCATGCCGGGTGTTTCCTTCTTTGATATCTGTGACTTTAAAAAATATTTAAAATTCAAAACCTCACCATCTCGATAGGAGGAGAAACTGTTTATTAGTGTTATGGCGAGTGGTATGAATTTGCATTTCATACATTGAGTTTTGTACATTGAACATATATTTTTTGCAAAGCTGAGAACCCAACAAGGTATATTTTAATAAATATTGTGCACATATGATCATTTTGCACACCACACTATTGAATACATTCTCTTCCATTGGAGGGGGGGGGAAAGGATCGTTTTCCCCTTTTTCCCCCCCGAATGGAAGAGAATTTATATAGCTGTGTGGTGGAACTTTGACACAGTTGACTGGAAGGATTCTTCCCGAGTCAAGGTCACAACTAGGGAGTGTTTTCTTAAAGAAATACTGTAATCCACATTCTTTGCAGATAAAAATGCAAAGGATTGGTTTTTAGGGCTTTGCAAAGCTTCAGTTGGAAACTGATGGGGCTGAATCTCCAGATGCCGGGTCCGGAATTTTCACTTCTTGGGAAAAGAAAAAAAAAATGGACTGACTCAACAATACAAATGCAACTGACACATTAAATTGTACCGAATTCAACTACACCCTGGTTTTAATTGAAAGGATGGGCATCTTTTAATTGGAGGTTCACAGGATGGAAGTTTGGGAATTACAATTAAGGAATATTAATTTGACGCATCACAAATATAAATTTAACCCATGTAGGGCAAAACTTCGGACAAGATGATGCTTAGTTCTTTGCTGGTTGTTAAAGAAATAACAAAATAACAAACTTGAGAGGGACTTTGTTGTTCCCACTGCTTCCTTATTCTGGACAAATGGCTGTCCAGTCTCTTCTTAAAAACCTCCAGTGATGGAGCACCCACAGCTTCTGGAAGCAGGTTGTTCCACTGGTTAATTGTCCTCACTGTCAGGAAATTCCTCCTTAGTTCTGGATTGCTTCTTTCCTTGGTTAGCTTCCATCCGTTGCTTCTTGCCCTGCCTTCAGAGGCTTTAGGAAGAAATATTACTTTCCTTGCATTTATTAAAGTTGAAAATTGCCAAGACTGTGCTGCAACCTGATCATTCCCACTCTTCATTCCTTAAAATGAGACAGCAAGCTTTTAGGATTGGGCATATTTTTATTTTAATTTATTGTTCAATTTATTGTTTATTTATTGTTCAACTTTTTTCCACCTACCTTGCCGAGGGACTACTCTAGGTGGCTTTTGTGAGGGGATCCACTTTTGTGGGAGATCCACTTTCAGATTGCCTGGTATATATGTAGGGTCGGCCATCAAATATTCATTTACCTTTTTAAAAGGTCAGGAGTTTGTTGGCACTGAGCTCAACATTGGTGCCTGGGAGTACCATGTTAACAG